AAACCGGTGCTTGACTTAGCTCTCTTTTGAGACTGACAAACTGCTCTTGATACCTGAGGGGTCCACTTGGGTATTTTGTCTTTAGACAGTTGTTCATATAAGAATTTAACTTTAAAGCTATAGTTTTCTATCCATTGCCTACAATACCCAAATAGCCCTAATGCCTGCCGAATTTGCCTCTTAGTGACAGGCATAGGTAATTCCAAAATTCCTTTAATGCGCTCTGAATCCAATATCTTCTGGCCGTTAAACAAATAATGTCCCAAATATTTCACTTTTTCGTCCACAAATTGTAACTTTTCTTGTGATACCCGTAGGCCCTTTTGTGCAAGAAAGTTTAGAAGTCGAATGCTTTCTTTTCTTACATCCTCCTTATTATTCCCTGCTATGAGCAGATCATCTACATACTGTAACAGCATGTTCCCCGTTTGTACCTGGTATTCTTTTAAGAGCTCTTCCAGGGCCTGTCCAAACAGATTAGGGGACTCAGTGAACCCTTGGGGAAGCACGGTCCATCTCAATTGCTGTCTACGGCCTGTCTTTATGTCTTCCCATTCAAAGGCAAAATAATCACGGCATTCTTCTGCCAGTGGACAGGCCCAAAAGGCATCCTTTAAATCAGCCACACTATACCAGGAGTTATGGGGTCCTAGTTTGCTTAGCAGCGTGTATGGATTTGCTACTACAGGGAACCGGGTGATAGTTCTTTTGTTTATTTCCCTTAAATCATGTACGAGCCGATATTTCCCATTTGGTTTCTTTACAGGCAAAATGGGTGTGTTAAAGGGTGACATACAAGGCTCTAAGATTCCTTGTGCTAACAATCGATCAATTTCTGGCTTTAATCCTCTCCGTCCTTCTAGGGATATGGGATATTGCCTTACCCTCACAGGTATGTGGGGTTCGGAAATTTGGATTTTAATCGGTGGAATTTTCAGTCTACTAATTGTGTCCGGAGAGTACCAGACATCGGGGTTAATTTGTTTTTGATCATCCACGGTCAAAGGATAAGCAGACACTGTTAGCTCTTGATTTTTCACTTTAATTTCTAATTGCAATTCAACAATTAAATCTCGTCCTAACAGATTAAATTCTGCTTCAGGGACAAGCAAGAGTTCACCCATTCCAAATTTATTTTCAGTTTCGAATACCACATTTTTGATTTTGCTTACTTTAAAGGGTTCTCCTTTTGCCCCAATTACTTGTACTTTTTCAGGGGAAACTTTATATCCCTCAGGTATTTGCTTAATAGTTGATTTCTCAGCCCCAGTGTCTACTAAAAAGGTGAACTCTTGTTTATGGGGACCTATTTTTAATTTTATCAAGGGCTCATGATGACTCCGGTCCCCTAAGATATAGAGCCCCTGACTCTCCTATTCCATTTTCAATATTTCCTCATCTCTGATCCTTTTTCTGCAATTCTTCTTTATATGTCCCTTCTTTCCACAGTAAAAACAATATCTCTGTTCCTTCTCTACTACTACGTTCTCTTGTTTCGTTCCAGCAGATCTGTGTTCACCAGTTCGCCCTTTGCGATCCTCTCTGACCGCTGCTACCATCATTTTTACTTGTCGCTTGCTGCTCTCTTCTTCCCGCCTTACGTAGACTTTCTGAGCTTCTCTCAGTAATTCATCCAACCCTCTATTCTGCCAGTCTTCTAACTTTTCAATCTTCTTTCTGATATCTTCCCATGATTTTGCCACAAACTGAGTTTTGAGGAGCGCTTGCCCTAAAGGGTCGTCTGGATTTACCCCAGAGTACAGCTGAAGGGCTTTCCTCAGTCGTTCTAGCCACTCAGTAGGGCTTTCATCTTTCTTTTGCATTTCATTAAATGCTTTATTGATATTCTGGCCACGGGGTACTGCTTCTCTAATTCCCTGAATTACTATAGTTCTCAGGTCCTGCATATGAGTTCTATGTACCGGATCTTGATTATCCCAATTAGGTCTTTGGAGTGGCCATTTAATATCTGCTTGGGGTCCCTGGACATGTTGAGCATCCCACAGTCTCATTCCTGCTTGTCTAATCATATCTCTTTCCTCAGTAGTAAATAATTGACCAAGGATAGATTGCATCTCCTCCCAAGTATAAAGGTTTGGTCCCAAAAGTTGATCTAATCTTTCTGCCACTCCGAGTGGGTCCTCAATTAAGTTTCCCATCTCGGTTCTTTTACAATCTCGTAGGTCAGCCGAATTTAAGGGTACGGAAATATATCCGATCACAGGTTGAGGTCCCCCCATGGGTATTTCCCTTAGGGGGTACATCTGATCTGCCCCTTTTTGACTTCTAGTTACGCGTCTAGGAGGAGGGGGAGACTCTTGTTCCGACTCTGGTGGGGGAGTGAATGCTCTGGGGGCCTCTGGAGGGGCTGTGGGAGCAGGAGGAGGAATGTAAGGAGGGGGGGGTTAGAAGGGTTTCGTCTAATTCTTCCTTCTTTTTCTTTTGTTTAGTTTTTATTTCATTCAGCGGGTAAAGTCTAGCTCCCGGTCTTTCTAGCCACACTTCTGCATATTGACTCTCCTCTGGGTTAAGGGTTTTTTTATTATTAACCCAGAGGTTTAATTGCTGTCTTACCCAATCTTCTTCTGACCCATAGACTGGCCAAAAGACATTTTTAGAAATCTTCTTCCCTCCCCATATCTTAGTACAATATTCTATCATTTTTTGTTTATCTTTTCCTAGGGTTCCAGGAAAATATCTCCAGTTGTCTAAGATATATGCCAGAGGGGTATTCTTAGGTACAATGGGTACCCTTCCCATGGGAGTCGAAGGCTTGCTGCCCTTCACCCCCATCTTCTGGAATATCCACAAACATACACTCACTCGCTCCTCTTGTTCCTGGCCCAGTCCCTTGCGGGAGATGGGAGACGCAGTACTTAAGAGTCCACACTCGCTTGGTTCAGTATATCGAACCTCTCACTCGTTATATTCCAGGAAACCCAATCCCGCCCGAACGGCAAACCCGTGAACAACTTCACAATATACTTACGCGTCCTGCGTCTTCGTCCGGACTCCCATGCACAGAATTTTATGGGATTTTACTGGTTTCTCCTTTGCTCATTATTCTAGAATTTAGGTTCGTCAGTAAGGTTGGGGTGAGCTGTTGGTCGCGGGGCCGCGAAATGTCACGGGGCGCCTCCCCGGAGGACCAAAGCCCACCGTTCCTTATCCGAGTCACGGCACCAGAAAATTGTCATAAATTGAGACCACAACGGATCATAATCCAATTAAAATGTTATTAATTATAGCAAGTAGAATATGAGCAAATACAGCGCTGGATGACAGGGGAGTCTGCGCTCCGCCAACTGCCGTGCTGAGCAATTCAAACAGCCCCTTTTTATACATCTCACTTCCGTATTCATGAAGTAGTGGAGGTACTCTGCGCATGCTTCCGCTGTTGCTAGGGGGTCAACTTCTGCCTCTTGGTGATCGTTGAGACTGAAGTAAGAAGTTTTCCTCCTTTGCTCCATAGTTGACCTTTTACTCATATGTCCTTATATGGAGTTGTTTGTCTTATCTCCGCCAGATCGTGGAACATCTTTCAGTTATCTTTAGTCAACATCTGCTATGTTTTCATGAAGCGGTACTTGGTTTAGTTTGTGTAAGCCATTGTGGTTATCTTATCTTGCACAAGCTGTGTCTGGTGATTGTTTGAGTAAGCGGTTTCATATCTTTTGTTGTCTAACCTTTACATTGAGCTTAACATAAATCTTAATAAACAATACCCTTATCCTTAGTTTCTTACAGGAGATTTCCTCACAAATTCTAAAATGAAGTATTTTGTTACAAAATTGTTCTGCATCTTTTCCACTGTTTGTGGTTTGTTTTTTTTTTCCTAAAGAACAAAAAAATCCCCACCTGACTTTAACTGGTTGTGCAGCTTAAAGTTCGCTGAAGAAATAGAGAGCCTCATAGTACATGAATAGAAAAAAATCAACTTTTTAAACATTGATTCTTTGAGCCTTCTTTCTGCTTGGAAAGGAAGGCAAATTTAAAAGTTCTTCACAAAAAAAAGCAACCCCACATTTGTTCTATTCCTAGTTATGTAACCTAATGTTAGCAACAGAGTTCTCAGTATTTCATATGATGCTAAACCCTGACACTAAATTTTGCTGTCTGTCAAAATCATAATTGTGACAACTTTGTGGATTTTTCCCAAACTGTGGCTGTTTCCCAAACTGTGCTCCAACATGATTTGACACTGTACTTGCATAGGCAAAGCTCAAGTATAAGACTTTCATTCCTGCTTTTGGAAGCACAGGGTAGCTGTTGAGGGTAGATGACCAGGCCTTTTGTGAGCAGGATTCCAGTTCAGCTGAGTTCATGTCAGCAGTTGACCAGAACTGGCTTTCAGAAAAGCAGGGCCTTGCCACATGTCAGGTCAGTGATGGCTTGATGAGACTGATGTCCACATACCAGGAGCTGGTATGGGCTAGGCTACTGTGGGATGGACTAGACCCAGACTTCAAAGTAAATTGGAGCAGTCTACATTTCTGAAGTACCAGATTCAGTCAGTTTCATGACACTGGGCACTACATATTTTGTAAGTTGGGTATCCAGTATTTCAGAAGTTCTTGAATAGTTTTGAGGAGTTTTTTCTACATGGATTTTTGGAAGCTGTCAGTTAGGGGGGTAAATAATAATTTTTAGTATACCTTCCTGTGCATCTGTAAGAGCTAGTTAATAGAACACTCCTTTTTGGGGACTAGGGATTCTCTTTAGCCTTGTTCATGGGATCTCATAGGATTTTAAAAGGAAAATAAAACAAGCCCACAAACAAAACCCTAGAAAGTAGCTTGAGTATTTGCTTGTGATCTGAATTTTAATATCCATTCCTTGTGATTTTACATGTTGTATTTCCAACAGAAGAAAGACATAGTTGCACCAAAATTCTTACTGGATGTCACTCTGCCTGTACACAGATGCCACTGAAGGAGAACTGCCACGGGTTTATTTTCTGCTCAGTAATTAAGAAGTGTTAAAATCTGTTTCTCCTTCAGCCTCTGCAAATAAGAGGGGGGCTGGGCCTCAGAAAGGGACGTAATGACCCTAGTGCACAGCCCTGTGACTGCCAGTGGCCCACTGGAAGAGTGCCCTGTGCTTATGAGACTCCTCTCTCCAGAGAAGTTAAGGGTGAATGAAGAAGAGCATGTAATGAATGTAAGTAAAATAGTCCTGGCTCCTTAAACTCTTCCCACTCCCTCTGTGGCTATGAGCTGCATTTAGCTGCATTTCCACTTCCTTGAGAGCATGGGAACGTTTGGAAAGCAGGCTCCTAAGGAATACAACAGCTGAGCCTCCCCTAGTAACAGTTGCTTGTTTTTCTTCTTGCTGGTTGACATGCCTCATATGACCTGTGAATTAAATACAACTGTGGATAATTGTGTGTGATTAAACAGCTCCTTATTTAAAAATAAATTAAAAAAAAGACCAGACCAAAAGTGGGCACTGTGTACACATCCAGTCCCAAAGTGCATAGTGTACTGTACACAGCACAGCATGTCACCCTAAGTACGGTGGTGTTACTCTTCAGCTCCTGTGAGTGCTTTTTTTTTGCTGTGCAGGATTAATGCTTTTATGCTTTAAGAGACAGTAAAGAACAGTAGGTTACTGTGAGTAAAGCTTCTGAGTACTCAATAATTGGAAGTTAATTCTAATCCAGAATTTTTCTGTGATTCTGTCAAGGAATGATTAGTGAAAATAGATCACTGTAACAGTGGATCTGGACTGTTTACTTGTGACAGGCTTAACAGAACAAGTCTGACGCTTTCAAAGTACATCCTCACGCTTGCTTTCAGAAGAAATGGAAAACTGTGCCCTAGAACTGTGAAAGAGATAAGGAAGACTGGTAGTCACATGGATGTGAGCTTCCACTGGGATTCTGTGTGTAAAAGCAAATGTGAGGCAGGTTTGTGTGTGCTTACAGTGGTTCCTGCAGTGGTACATCTGGCTTTTAAGAAGCACATTGGACATAGGAAGGGATTCAGAAAAGCCATGAGAATAAGTCTGAAAAAAATCTTTTTGCTAATAGACTTGGGAAGTTTAATCCCTACCCCAAAAGAAGATATGGGGTAACTTGCTCACAATCTGAAAATAATTCACAAAGTGAATTATTAGCTAGGATGGATTTTTCCATAAGGATTGATCTTTTTAAGAAGGTAAATCTTACTTTTTTTTTTTCCTTTCCTAAAAAATTTATCCATCTCAGCTCTGGTTTTAAAGGAAGAGCGGAATTGCAAGATAGCTGTGGTTTGTGTGTTATAGATTAGATTGGGTGGTCGTAAAGAGTTTTCTTGGACTGAAGAAATGGTTGCAGTGGTATCAATGTTTCTGATAGAAAGGATTGTCAGACTTCACACCTTTTACAGATAGCCTCAGCAAAGAGACTGGGATGGATCTAAGTGTGCCGCAAGAGTTCTTGTGTTCTTTTGGAGTATGTGAAGTCTTAAGTTTGCCTGCCTTATACTGCTGAATGAGGCTTTTGTTCAGGGCTGTTAACTTAGTCCTCTCCTAACCTAGTGATGCTTTAGACTTGCTGAAAGTGGAATATTGGTATGTTTTGTTTCTGTTTGTGTGCTTGCTTTTTAATTGCTCCCTTACCAGATAACTGTCTGACTGTCGTTCTTCTGGAGTGCTTGCTTTTTCTTTCTCCTGGTGCTAAAAAGGATTTTAGATGCATGTGAAGGGAGGAGAAAACAATGCGTTCTTCAGTTGAAATGCAGCAGTTTTTGCCAGGATATTTAATGTTTGCTTTAATGTGTTAGTGTAGGATTAAAAACCGCTTTCATTCTAACCTTCCTCATATCCAGAGTTGGTTTTGGCCATGTCTAGAAACTTCATATGCCACCTCTTCTGTCTTTGGAGAATAACACATCAGGTGGTCTTTATGTGGGGTGTTGAGATAGTGACATGGACTTGCTTGCTTGTAGACAGAGGAGTAAAGCCATGTATCTCATTGCACATCTTTTGATGGCTAAGTGTGGCTTCTGAGCATAGAAGGGGAGTAGGTCCAGCAGCTTGCTTATAGGCTTGTTTGATTCTGGGACCCCAAGCACATGGTAGTAACTGATACCAAGTCTGAAGCTCAGTGGGAGGCACATGATCCAATTGAAGATGTCCCTGATCATTGCAGGGAGGTTGGACTAGATGACCTTTAAAGGTTCCTTCCAGCCCACACCATTCTATGATTCTTTGTGCATCTCTTAAAGTGAGATGACATCAGAGTTGTATTACTCTAGTGTGAGGTCAACTTCCATGTGTTCTCAGCTGTTTTTATGCATAGCTGCATATCAAACTATAGAATGCAAATTGTCAGGTAATGTAGTTTTTGTGGTGTCTTAAAACAAGCGGAAAACACTAACAAAGCAAATGCAAAATTATTACTGTCATTAGCAAATATTAAAAAAATGTGCACACTGTTCTGCTGAGGTTGATTGACTATTTGCATCCTTAGTGGTATGTGCAATCAGATAATTTCCTAATGATTATTTTTTCTGCTGTACGCCTAGGAGAAGGTGTAGCTTAATTATCCTCTGCAGTTTGCAAAATGGCACAAGCTATTTGCAAGTGTCCATGCTTCTGGAGCTGTAAATATGAAGAGAAGCTGGTTTTTAACAGGCTTCTATTGTATAAATAACTCAGCTTAGCCCTGTTTAAGTTAACTTTTTTTTCTGGAGCATGACTTTGCATAGTTGGACTCTGGTCCATTTCTAAACAAGGGATGAGAATCACTGGATTATGTGTCTTCAAGTAGTATCTGGGTCTTACGTAACTGTCTTCTGTAACTGGCACTAAGGAGGTTTTTATGCTTATGCTATTTTACAGGTTTCTAATGTATTTTGTGGCTTCAGATAAAGAACGCTAATATGTTGTTGGCTGGACCTAATAGTTTTCTTAATGATAAAGTATAGCGTACCTATAAATGCTGAAGATTATCCTTAGGCAAAGTGTTTGCCTGATGACTTATAATTAAACTTAGAAATGTGCATGTGTTAAAAATAAGTTATTTTCATCTCTTTAAATGCCATGCTACAGCCTAATTTATGCTTTTCTTTTAATACTTAGTGGTTAATTTTGTAACCCAGAGGTGGTAACCTTCCTCAAATGCTGCTGCATCTTGGGTATTATAATAGTAATTATGAGAGATACAGTTTTCATAGAAATGGAAATGCCTTATTTCCTTAAAGTTTGTAATAACAATATTGTTAAAATTGTCCCTGCTCTTTCGTAAGTCCTTTGAGTGACATTTTGATCACCAAGGCATATACTGAGTACATAATAATTACTGATCTAAATGAGCTAGTTTTCATGTAAAGTAAGGAAAGGATAAGGTTAAAGTTTCAATGTGCTCACTTTTTTATGCTGATTAGCTGAAGATTCAGAGCAGGCTCTTTATAAATGTCCTAAGAACTCAGTAGAAACCTACAGTTAATAAGATGATTTGTTATAGCCTGTTTGTCACTCGTGATAAAGAACACTTCTAAATGCTAGCAAGGGTTTCTCAGACAAACTATAGCAGGTTTCAAGCTCTGAAAGAATTCAATTGCTAAGTAAAACTCAAGATAACTGGAGTTTGGATTCTTGGCCCTGTTGAATTGGCTGATTCAAACACTAATATAAATGTGTCTGTGATACCGTAATGTTCCTCCTCTCTTCTTGGTTCTTATTGTCTTACAACAAAAACTTCAGTGTAGCTCTTATCTCTTGTATACAGTATGTTTGAGAAATTGTTTCTCTCCTTGACAGCGTGGCTTCTTACATCATGGTTTTGTAAATTAGGCTTGAAGATTGTTTTGCTCTCATGGCTGACTGCTTCTTTTGTCCCCTTGTATGTTAGCCTTGTCGTCACAAGCTCAGATCTCAGTCAACTGAGGTATGACTGCGTAAATTGTAGGGCCTCTGCTGGAACTCCAGGTGGAAACTTTGCAGCTTTGAGTTAACTTTTCATTTTCCCCCGTGCCTCTTTCTGGAGTAATCACACAGAACTCCATTTCTTCAAAGCTGTGCAGTCATTAGGTGCCTGTTTCAGGTGATCAGTTGAAAGCGTGTCTTTCAGGGAACAATGTGGCATGGTCAAGAAACCATAGCCTTTCTACTTTAGTAGATGACATGCTCTCAGAGAATGTTATTTTCATAATCTCAGAAATAGCTGAAATAGAACTGGAAGCATACAGCTTAGTAGGACATATTTGATATGTTGCCCTGTTAGTTGTACCTGCAGCTTTCATGCTCACTCTTCTCAGAAGAGGAGGAGCGGACATATTTTTTTGTTTCACCCCTTCACTGCTTTTTTTCATTGCAATACTCAAAATATTAGTGGACATCAAATACGTACTCACCAGTGGTCAGACTTTTGTTTATCAGTGGTAATAAAAGGTAACTTTTAAAGCTGAACTGAGTCAGGGTGACTTTGCCCTCTCATGTGTTTTATGCTCTTAAACACCTGACCTTGAAGTAGCACTCATGTTCTTGTGGCCAAAGATCTTGATTCTCAAGTATGGGTGGATGACAGACATAGGATGTGTGTGTAAGGTGGTGTTAAGGGAACCTCTGAACTGCAAGGAAGAGTAATCTCTTCTGTAGAAAACAGCAAAATGTGAGAATCTTAATAATTCTAATGGCACTAGTTTATTAAAAGACCCTCAAGCTGAAGATGTCTGTCTTTGTTCTGAGATAGTTTTGACAACAATCACAGAGGTAATGAGAAAGTAGTGTCCAACTAACACGCTATAGGAGTGTGCTAAAACTGGGTATTTTCTTGTTAAACTTGCTGCAAGGTCATACAGTCAAAAGTGGTTCTTTGCCTCCTTTCTTCTTTCTTCCCTCACGCTCAGAGTAAATAGCCACTAATCTTATGGTAGATGGATTTAATGGTGAATGTCAAGTTTTGGAGTAATACAGGTGCTCAAGGAAGAATAGCAGCCATGTGCTTAAGATCTTTAGAAAGGTTAAAACAAATAAAAAAAAATGTAAAAGGGGCTTTAATACTATATTTGTACCTGGTTTTGGTAACACTTGAAAGTGATTAAATGACTTTTTCATGTCTTAGCTGTAGTCCAGCTGAGTCACTGCCTTACACAGCATTTAGTTAAGATGGCCCTTAAAATAAGCAGCCAACATCTGTTAAGAAAAAAACCTGGCCTTTTTATTGCTGTAAAATTAAAAATGGGGCTTTTACAGCAGAATTGTTTCTGGAGAACATGCTGAAGCTCTTTATTTGAATGGGAACAGGGACATTCATTTCTAAGAATATTGAGTTCAAGTCCATCTGGATTAATCTACTTTGCTGTTAGTTTACTGCCCGGTTTAAATTTCAGAGGAGCCACAGACAGTGATCTTTTTAAATATACGGCCAAATGTAGAACAGATCAGGGAATCAAGAGGTGATAGTGGTGCTGCTATTTGTGCTTACTGGAGGACACTTTTGCCTTTGCTCCTACTGGTCTAATTACAGCAACTGGCAAGCAACCTGGTCTAGTGGAACGTGTCCCTGCCCATGGCAGGGGGGTTGGAACTAGATGATCCTAAGGTCCCTTTCAACCCAAACCATTCTATAACTGTAGCATTCCTGAAATGGTACTCCAAATAGAAATTGGTTATCTAGGTTGTGTCCTTGTGACCAGCTGGTGGCCTGTATGAGTACTTGATCTGCTCTGTCACTTCCTGTGTCATGGCGTTGCTGCCTGTTCATTCAGTCTGTGCTGGAAGACTTAGCTGTGGAAGGGGCTTTCATGTCCCTGTGAGTGGAGGAGTCTGCCATCATACAACTGTAATGCCTTGCAATTGGCATCTAGCCTGATACAAGGAATAGTTTGGCCAATGCTATCCTAAATACAGAAGCACATTCTTATATAAGCAAGCATAAAGTTACAGTCCTTCATTGCTCTTTTGATGCTAATTTGTGCTTCAAGATAAGATTACACATCCAATATGAATACAGTTGATGGCTGAAAATAAATCTGTTTGTTTGCTTAACCTTTTACCATTCTTTGTTGCAGCTCTCAAGTTCCACTTACAAATACAGGAGTGAGGAATTCAAGAGACAGTTTTCTCATCTGCCAGATTCCGAGAGACTCATAGTAGGTAAGATGCAGTCATACAAAAAGCGTTTGTCTTCTGGCTGATAATTCCAGACTGCTGTAGTGCCAAGGCTTCTTTTTTTTGTGGCAAATTCTAATTATAGCTGATAAATTCCTATTTTTCTGTCTCTGAACTAGCATCAGATACTTTCAGAGAAAGTCAAGTCCATACCCCTCTTCTGTATTGCCTGCTTTCTGAAAAAAGACAAATTCCCTCAGGAGGTTGAGAGGTGAAGGAGAGGGTACAGATCCTCCAGTTCATCTGGACACAGGATGGGAACCTCTTGATGTCTTTTACTTCTGCTACTTTTTAGTACTTTAGTTCCTGACAGCAGTGGAGATGTGACAGCTGTTAGCTGACAAACTGGAAAGAAAGATCACTATGCAGGGTGCTGGTGAGCACTGAATACAAACTCAACATACATGTACTGGTTTGTGCAATGCAAGTGTGAGAAAACCAGGTAGAGTTAATCCTGAGGGCACTGAATTTGTTGTATGTTCTTTCCAGCACAGACAGACAACTTAGTGTACTTCTTGTAGTGTCATACTAACCCTAACCCTAAACCTGCCCCTAACCCCAGCCTAGACCCTTGCCCTGGGCACTTGATTAATGTGACTTCTGGGACTGAGTGACACAGTCCCAGAATTACAGTCCCACTTGTAATTTAAAAAACACTTTTTGGAGACAAATGCCGGCTATATGATACGAGGACATAAAATTCCGCATTTAAATGATAATTCCCATCAGCTATTGCAGGATATAATTGAAAAACACAAACAAATACTCATTTTATCCTGACTTAATGGTGTGCACTTGGATGTATTTGCCACCATGGTATAGAGAGGGCAGTTAAAAACTTTTTATGCCTCGCACTGGTATGTGCACATGTGGTTACTCCCCATACCGAGCATTAAGGGTATTATCTGGTGCTGCTAGTTCTGGGCTGGCTCATGCCTTGAGTGAAGGTTTTTCACATCCCAGTATACCAGTTTAGCTTACCCATATGCTCATGACATAGGTGCAGGCATAGATATAACACTCAGCTGGAGGAGCAGAGGAGATAAGTCTATGGGGTAGGGGGGGACAGAACAAGGTGGCAGAGACTACGGTGCATAACTACTTGGCATCAAAATGTTCCTTTTGAGCTCCCTGTTATGCTCCATTACACAATTCAGAGAAGGTAAGCCTGTAACCCTACCTCCTTTGCATGCAGTGATGCACCTTATTTCTGTTTTATAACTTGCCTTGCAGGTAAGTCTGCCTATGCTGCCCAAGCATTGTGTAACAAATGTACTGTCCCAGAATTGGGATTTGTTTTAATACAAGGGTGGTATTGTTTAATGTTCACCTTATGCCATCTTTAAGGAAGTGAATACTGGGAGGCTGTCAGTATGTTTCCAGTTTGCAATGAGTTCCTTCCTAATTAATGGAAGACAAATTTATGCAAGTGACAGCTCTGAAACTGTTAACTACCTGCATCCTTTTCCAGCCTTAGAAGGAAGCAGTTTTCCTCTGAAATGCCTTCTGCATTTTTAAAATACTTGAATTCAGTACGGAAGTGAAACAGAAGAAAGGGATATTAACTTCATAGCATTGTTTTGGTGTGTCTCGTGAAAGAGGGTTGATACAGAAAGCCATGTAGCAAACTGAAGCACAGGTTCAGTGAACAGACTGCCTAGGATTTGGAGAAAGATTTAGTGATGGGCTAATCTCAATAATGTAGGACCTGCTCCATCAGAAGCAAAGTCATTCCTTTGTATACATGATGGAGTTTTTACCCCATAAAAAGCAATGCTTCTTTGGAAGGACTTTTTGCGTTCTCTAAGCAAAGGGCTTTTTCTTTGCTTGATGCAAAGAAACTTTTATAGGCTTTACAGTGTTCAGAGAAGCAGTTAGTTGCTGCTGTTCATTAAAATAACTGTAACTACTCCCATTTCTAGTTTAGCTTTTAAAAAACTAAGCAGCTTCCACTGTAATGAGCACTGTATATAAAGATTTTGTGAAATATGATTATTTTCTTGCAATGGAAAAGGAATGACTTAGACACTTGAAATGGGAGTTTAGAAGAGTGCCACTAATTTGCCTGAAAATGTTGTTTACAAGCAACATCTCCTTTTTTTGTGTAGGTAGGTCATGGTGTTGTTTATCACTTGTCTGGCTCCCTGCCCCAAACATAAAAGTCAGAATCAAGCTTCTTGATAATGCTTTCCTCAAGTCCTTAACCTCAGACTCCTGCTGCCTTCCCTCTCACTGCTCTCTGTGTTTTGGTATCTGACTTCTCTTTAAGCGTCACTTACAACTTAATGGTTTGGATTTCTTTTATTCTGTTTGCAATAATGTCTTGTATACATGCCTCATGCTTGTTGCAAGAAATTCTACTTGATTATTTGAGGGGAAAACCCAAGAGAATTTAAAAAATCATAATAAAAGCTCCTGTAGATGCAGACTTACCTTGAAGTTAGGATGGCAAGGGTCTCGTGAGCCTCTTGGTACTCAGAACAACTGTGTTCATCATGTTGTGGTACACAAAACCAAAATTCTGTCTCGGACACTAGCAGATACATTGCTTTTCAAAATAACAAAACTCTTTGATACCTCTAAAGCTAGAATCAATAACATCCTACTAGAATAGGTACACTCTCTATACATAAGGTAGTCTTCTTTAGGCTTGAGCTTCCAAAAGGGAAGTCTTGAGTTTCTAGCAGTAGTACTTGTGAAAATTCCTTTTGAATCTTCAGGGTCTGAAATTATGTAACTTGAGAGGTTTTTTTAAAAAATGCATCAAAATCCTCTGCCCTTGTTTTTAATTAGCAGGTATCTAATGATGGGTAATTGTGTTCTAGATGAAATCTGTTTCTCAATAGGGATGTTTCAGCCACAGGCAGTATCATAATGAGGATGACAGTCAGCTTCTGAAAATACCTTATGCCTGAGGAACTGGGTAGCTTCAAGCTGCCTTTGAGTGTCTCACTTTGCAGATAGTTTTAGCTAGAGATTAGAATCTGTTTAGTGGAAAATAATTATCTTACTACAACATACAAACTACTGTTGTGTAGGAGTTGACAGTGTATATACTGTTATACTATAAACATGTTTGTGTATTCTGCTGTTTAGGCACTTTGAAGTTTGATTTATGAGTGCTTCTCCTGTGTACTCCTGATCTTGCTTGATACCTCTTCTCTGAAAATGCAGGATAATGCACAGGGGGATTAATACATGGAATGCTGTCCTCACACAGACATTTCCATCAGCCCTGGCATTGGGGTGTTCCCAGAACAATGATCTGGATGCAACCCAGTACAAGTCTGCCTTCACAGATTTTTGAAGAGTGAAAGAAATAGCTTTTTATTTGTATTGTAATACCCTTATCTCATTTTAAGTTAGCATGTTTGGGTCAATTGAGCTGCATTAAGTGAGTAAACTTGTTCTTGCTCTCTATACATAGATTATGCCTGTGCACTCCAGAAAGATATCCTGCTGCAAGGACGTTTGTATCTCTCTGAAAACTGGCTCTGTTTCCACAGCAACATTTTCCGATGGGAGACCACAGTAAGATCTCTTAGCTTGCTTGAATCCTTGAATCCCACCTGTTTGTCCTGTACGATCAGGGTATGACTCCCTCAAATCTTGCCCTGTAAATCTCATCTAGTAACTTTGCACTGGAAAGATAGAGCCTCCATCCCTGAGCGGAAATGCAGATCTGTTGCTCCATAAAATGAGAATAGCTTTGGAGACATGAATGCTGAAATAAGCCTACTCCGTCAGTCATGCAGGAAGGTGTTCAGGAGTTATGCTGAAACTGATCTCTTACATTTCTGGATGGCAATTTCCCTCTCCTTACTAAGGAGAGTTGTCCTATAAAGGGATGTAACATGTAATGTTTTCCTATAAAACCAGGAGCATGATACAGTACATAATGTTGCCCTGTTCAAGAACTCTTTAGCGTTAAAACTTTACTTGTTTTAGTCTGGTGCAAATATCAAATTAAGAACAGCCGAAGAGAATCTATAAATGACCTTGGCAAGTTCTCGTGTTGTGGTGTGTAGATTTTGAACAGTATGAGGAAAAGCAGGTATTTGTGACATTGGCCCTCTATTTCTATCCAGTTAGGTTAATGAGTTAAAATTTTTCATTCAAGCAATTTTTGCATATGATGCAGAAATAGCATAAGGCAATGAATGAGAAAAGGAAAGTAACCTAGTTAATAGGTGATGGAGATGTGTCAAAATGTTCTGCAGCTCTAAGACTGCTCATACCTTAATCATTAAATTCTACTATGTGCACTCTGAAGTACACAGGACAGATAACAAATACCTTGTGTACTGAAGACAATGAGGAGGTGTAGAAATGTTTAACTGAAAAACAAGCTTAATTTCATCAGATGTATTTTACAATGTAATGTTTCTCATTGTGGACTTGAGATTTAAAAAAATTCCCTTTGAAATCACACCCGTGAATATATACGATCTATTCAAAGACTGATTATTTTTTTCAGCCAAACTAGCATATGTCCTGGTAACCTGTTCCTACCTGCCTAGCAGAGTGATATCCTATGCAATATCATAAGGCAATCTGAACCTATTAGCTACAATGATAGAGCTAAGTTTTGGGACCTCCTTAGCAGACTGTGTTGATGCAGAGAGAAAGTGGACCTTCTGCACACAAAGGAAAAAGCAAGATTCCACTGCTCTACTATACAGAAATGTTTAGAATACTAATATGCAAGGCAAACACATCCAAGCAGGAAGATTTCCTTGCAGTGTGTGGACTGCAAATAAACCTCTGTGAAAATGGGCTAGATAGTCTGTCATCTGATTTATGTCCTACCTTATGTATAGCATACTGATTGGGATGGACTTTCACATCTGTGCTTTGTATGTGGTTGGGATTGTGCCTTAATCCTTCAGTATTGCTCAGTGAATGGAAGGAAAGAAGAACGAAGTACTTGCTTCTCTAGTCTACTATGAAAGGAGATTAGTCTTAAGTCATTTTAACTTGCTTCTACTTTGGAATGCTTGCTGTTAGCAATTTGAGATAGTAATTGACTTTGTGATCTCAACTAAATTGCATCCCAGGGCTTGGGGTTAGTTTGAGTTCCTATTGCATGTTCTGTGACTTCGTAAATTTTCAGTTTTAAGTTATTTATAATATGTCATTAAACCTCTTTCTGCTTAGATTTCTATTGCCTTGAAGGATATCACTTTCATGACAAAGGAGAAGACTGCTCGGCTCATTCCAAATGCCATACAAATAGCAACAAAAGGAGAGAAGGTGAAAACCTGTATTGTGATGTGTTGGGTTTTGGTTGGGTGGGGTTTTTTTTGTTTGTTTTGTTTTGGTGTATTTTTTTTTTTTTTAATTTTTATTTTATTTAACAGCAATGTTCAGGGCAGAGCACTTGTAGTTTTAAATCCAATTACATTTAAAGATTTGATCACCAGGCTTGGTGATCTAGTCCCTATACATAGTGGCTTGACAATTCAACCTAGAATTCCCTAGAATCCCAGAAAGTAAAGGGGTTGTTGTCCCATTGGTTCTCGAAGGAAAACCATTTTAAAGTTCAGAGCATGACTTCAGAATGTGCATCCTCCAGACTGCAAAAATTTCAAATTCACTAGGTTTAAAGTGTCCCTGGAATTTCTGGAATTTCAGAAAACTGTTGAAAACAAAAAGAATGATGTCGTGGAGAAATCTACTCATAGAACATGTAATTTTATGTGCTGAGAAGTGTAGGTTTTGGGTATCTATTTGGAAAAACTGAAAAACATGATGCTCATGTGCAGTGCTCTTCCAGTATTTGTCTGTTCTCTCTCAGTTTGTTAACTTTAATCATCAAGGAAGATAAACCTCTTTCTCTGCTAAACAAACATTCAAATGGGAAGGATTTTAATACTACAAATGATGCATCTCATGTGACATATTTTAATTATTTTGATTTCATATCTCCTTATGTGAAAAGATTAATGAAAGTAATATATGGTAGAAGGATGGAAAAGGCTGTGGTCTTCAAGAAATAGGTATACGGAACTCTAATTTGTTTCACATCCTATTTAAAAATGGGAGAAAGATGTAGCTGTGTAGTTAGTTGAGGGGGGACCTCTTCCTTTATGCCAGAGATACAAAGGATTGCGATCAGATGCCTGGAAGAGCGAGTGTCTTTATATACTAATGGGAAGCTAACTTTTACTTACTGAAAGTGATTAAAAAGTGTGGAGTGTGAGGAATGGCACAAATGAGGTTTGTTGAATGTGAGAGGATCATGCTGTTGCTGAAAACCTTAGTTTATTCAAGACAAGGAAGGATTCTGATTTTGTTGAAAATACCTACAAGTGAGCTTTTATTTTATTTTTAGAAAGTGAGCACTTTGTTTTTCCTGCAGTTTTTCTTCACATCGTTCAGTGCAAGAGACAGAAGCTACCTCAGTATCTTTCGCTTATGGCAGAACGTGTTGCTAGATAAGGTAAGCTTGTAAGTGTGGGTGCCAGTGGTTAAGTAACAAAATAATATTTTTCTAATATAAGAAGACATGTTTTTGGAGGGTAAGAAGCTTTCCTTGAGAAGCTAGGTTTTTTCTTCTCGTACTGCCACCTACAACTTTGCAGTTGATGGAGTATTTTGTCTTTGAAGATAGGTTGCATGCTTTTCTTCACTACCACAAGCAGGTATTACTAAATTGGCATGCATTTTCTATGGCTAATTTGTGATCAACAAGGCAAGAGACTTTTTCACTGAAAGCTTTATCTTTTTGAGGAAAAAGCCTTAAGTCACCTTCTCAGATAACTTAGTTGAACCTTTGACAGCCAACTCATTACAACTCCCCTGACCTTGAATAAATGCAGTAAAGGCAGGCTGTATGAGATGGAAGTGTATTTCGGCAACTTCTGTTAGTTAGTTTGATTTATATTGCAATTTGTGAATACTTAAGCTAATCTGCTTTCTAAAAATGTCCCGACAGTTTCGCAGAGCATCACTAAGTAATGCAATTTTTGTAAACCAATTCCTTCCTGTTTACGGATCTTGTTGCTTAAATATTTCAACACAGTTGCAAATGAGCACTGAAATATCCATATATAACTGTGTGCTGCAGTGGTCCCCAAAGGCTTAAAGCTCTTGTACTGCTTAACTGTAGTACCCACAAAAGTTGGGTGTTGTTTTTTTTGTTAGCTGAATTCTAGGGCAGATTAGAGGTACTTTTTGTCAAAAGCTGGAAATAAAGGAAAGTGCCATTTAAGGCAAAACTAATGTTTCCTGCAAATCTCTTATCTCTTGTATTAAATACTATTTTATTGTAACATCCCAATTATCTTGTCTTGAATCCAGCAGCTAGTGCTGCAAAACCCACAATGCGCTATGTCATCTTTTGACTGGAATGTGCAACTGGAAACCAGCCTTGTTTTCCTTTGTTAGCATAGTTTGTCAGGAATGGTAATTATGCAGTTGTTCAGTTCATGGTGCTGGAGGGTGAATGTATGGGCATTCAGGTATACAAACCTGTCCAGGGGATTGGACCAGAGGCAGCAAGCTTTCTGCTGCTCAGTGTTAGTTTCTCCCCTGTGTTAGTCCTCTTTGACACTGAAATGCATGTCACGTTAGAAACAATTTTTCACTTCAGAGCTGTAACTGAAGGATAGATATGAAAGTAGAAGTCATGGACTGCACGTAATATGAGATGAATTAAGCCAGACAGTTTTAGGGACCAGTGGCTTGGGACCTCATCTTATTCTTTATATCACATCTTGCTACTAGCATTACTTGCATCTCACTAAAGTACATTGAAAGGTAAGTCTGCAAACTTTTGCTTGGGGTTCTCAGTTGTAAGATAGAGCATTGCTATGAGGTGTAGGGCTTTTAATGTAGTATGTTTGGGGCTACTTACTGAAACAGGATTTTTGTTGAGTTGAGCTCCTACTTCTGCAGTGCAGTAGTGACTTCTGATTCTCTGCTAGAATGTTTGAGTCACCTGTCAGCCTGCTTTATGATTCTTTGATTCTTTGTTGCTTAACCAAACTGGATCAAGGTATAGAGGGGCACTGAGAAGTTGAAAGTAGGAAGTAAAGTTGCCAGAGCTGGATCTGACAAGGCTACAGTGACAGTTGTCCACTGACCCATTGGTAAAAGAAACAAGTTGGTGCATCCAAGCATTTTTGCTGCTTTCTCCCCATCACCCTATGACAGGAACAGAATATGTTTGAAAGATCTCATATGTCTGAAGCTCTGGCATGGTATGCAGTGTCCTAAGTACGTGAAGCCTGGTGTTTCTGGGTTGTGGGCTCAGTGGTCACAGGGATCCTGTCAGAATTTGTAAGGCTTGTGACAAAGCCCCCAAATCTCACCCTGGAGCCAGTTTGAAAAGGAGCTGGTTTTAACATTTCCTCCGTGAAGAGCTAGGTAGTTAAAGCGTATGGATAATGTAGTTATTATCTGAAGTGCATCTGCTAGACCTGGAAATGAAATCCAACTGTTAAATTCTGAAATAAAGTCATTCTGGTGTCACCAGAAGTATGACTGGATACAGCGATGGTTTGCACCTCCACCTGATGACAAATAATTCCCAATTTGCATGATTCACATCCAGGGGATTGGATTTGTCTTTACTTCAAACCATGTTTGTGCAGAGGTAATTTTTAGTCACTGGCACTGGCCTCTTCAATGTGTTCTGGGCATAGATTTTGTGTTACAAGGTCTCGCCTTTGAAGAATGACCTATCTCCTTTAAGGGGATGCTCCTTAAGCTTTCCCTGCCTGCAGAACTTGTTGGTAGGGTCAGCATGTCCTTTCCCAGATCTCCATCTTGTGGCCATTCTGCCTTGTACTTTTCAAGTATCACACAACCTAGTCTTCTGCGAAGTCTGCCTTTCTATTAGAAATTAGTTGCATTATGTATGAAAAACAGTAAAGGATTACATGCTATTCCATGCCTAAGCTTGCTTTGCCCATCAGGATGCTCTCCTCCAGCTTTACGTCACTGTTCTCATAGGACTGCTGGTCTCCTTAGCTGGGCTGTAGCTCTCTAGCTCAAAGTTTCTCCTCTGAATCTTGCTCTGAGTAACAATACTATGTGCATTTGGCACCCTTCAGCTTTGGTTCCTCAGGGGATCAATGAGTACCTCTGTCTTAATATGGTCCTTTCTTAGGCTATATTATTTTAAATGTCCATATAAAAACTTTTCAAGGAAAAATCCACTTATTTTAATCTAGTCCTGTTGCAAAATGTGCTCAGTGAGTCTCTTAGGTTTGCTATTGTTTTTTTTTATTTAAATGCTCCTGGCTGAAGGGGAAGCATCATGGAAAATAAGGAGTTGTTAATGTAGGTCTGGAAGAGACATGACACCGGTTTTGATAAAACAGATAGCTGCTTCCACATCCATTGTGGCTTTCAATAATACATCAGTTTATAAAATCAGCCAAAATTCCTGTTTTGCAACAGGCTTTGCAGATTGGTTAGACAACTTTACTAATGGCTGCTATTGACAGTAAGAGCAGTGCCATTTAGACTTTTGCTGTATTTTGCTAAAGCTTTTGGGTGTCAAATATCCACCCAGTTTAAGGGAGCAGGAGCAAATTAAAATCTAATTAGGCAGGTCATTCAAATCCCAAACAAACACAGCACTCCTTATTTCTAATGGAACAAGATCTTAACTTAATCAGTCTCACTTCCCATGAGTCCTCTTCGTTAGAGCTGGATTTATTTTCCTATTGTTCTTATGCATTGCTGGGTAGAGATTTGCACTTGTCTCCAGAGACATTGTAGCAGGTAAGTCTAGAGGTGTGAGAAGGGACCGGAATTTCTGATGAGCTGGACTTCTTGTGGCAACATCTACTAGGACAGCAGTTCTGCCTTCTCCAGCAGCTTCTCAGGGAGGGTTGTGGAAAAAAAGTGTTTGTTGTCACCTTTCTGTGCAAGGAGGGGTCTTCTGGATATCTAAAAGGGCTTGGGTTGATTCTGACCTTCACGTTTGGGCAGTTAGAGGGGGGAGTTGGCTGTTTCATTCACCAGCTGTGCGACAGACTTCTGTATCAGAGTTGCCTGGTGTGAGTGTGATGCGTGGTGGGGGTTTTTCTCTAAGGTAGACCTGTGCTGAGTGTCCTGTTCTTATTTCTGCATGTCGGGGGGGTGGATGGGACGGGACGGGACGGACGGACGGATGACTAAAAATCAGTATCTTTGCTTATGTCAGTAATATTCTGTAGTATCACTTGTGCAATGCCACCACTTTGTATAGAGTGAAACAAAGAATTGATGGTTTTTTTGCTCCTGGTTGAAAAGACAAAACTGTGTGTCCCGGCTGCTTCTTGTAGCCTTTGTTTTTGTATACAAAGGGAACTGAGGCAAAACTCAGCATAGGCCATCACCTCTGGTGGGCAAAGTAATTCATGTTTAGGCTCAGCCTTTCAAGCTTCAGAGCTTCTCAAAACCATGCTCTCAGAAGCAGAAGTCTGAACCAGAAAATTTGTGCCCTTCTTGCCTTCAGAACTTTTGCTTTATTGTACTGGAAAGGATGTCTGGTTTGATCTTGTGCTGTGACCATTAAGAATTTAGTATATCTAGCTGAGCTAGGAATAATTGAGTGCAAGAATCCTGTTTTAGAAGCAGAAGTCAGTAACATTGACTTTAGAGAACCACAGGAAACAGCTTTATAGATTCCTAAAATGCATAGCTGAAAAGATTCTGTGCTTTCCTGAGATCATTCAGCCTGCTGTGCAAGGGCAGCCTGATGTGCTCACACACTGGTGCAGACTGTGCTGGTGAATTTCATTAGTGACATTAGCTGTTTCCTGGTTATTTTCTTATGACTTGAAATAAAGGCACTGTCAGTAATGGGCATGGGAAGTGAAAGGGGCTTTGTTTCTGCCCTTTAATTTCTGGTTGCAAGGTGTGCTATCTAAACATGCACCTCAGTCATATTCCCAAAGCATGTAATGCCTGCTCCCGGTTTTAGTCACTTAAGGGGAACAGCTGTAGGTAGTTGTGTTTAGCTATGAATTTATTGCTCCAAAGGACAGTGTGCTTGGGGAAAGCAAGGCAGCTGTGTGTGTTGCTGCATGTTTTTAGCACTGCATTGCTTTGTGGAACGAACCCCCGTGGCAGAGGCAGGCGTTAGCTGGCATGACCCTTGCTTTCTATGTGTGTGATTTGTGTTTTAGTGTTTCCTTTGTCCTGGGTAGGATTAAATACCTTGAACCCGATCACTGCCCATAAGATGCTTGTGCCAGCTGCTTTCTGAAAAGACCAAAACTTTGTTGTGTTGCAGAATCCCCGGGGGAAAGCCCCTCATCCAGGGCGGCCATGTGCCGGTCCGGGCTGGGTTTGCCCTGACCCCTCACGTTTTACCTGTTTTTGCGGAGGGACAGTCTCCCTCACGACGCAGCAGGGGATCCTGCATCGAGCCGGGGCAGAGCGGCACCCCGGGGCCATGCTGGCGACCGGGGCCGGCGCTTTGACAGTGCCCGGCTTCCCCCCGGCTCCCCCCGCGCCGAGGAGAGCGCTGTCCCGGCCCCGCTGGCGGGAGCCGCTGCCGCCGGGCGGGCGGGCGGGGAGGTGGTAGTGGGGGGGCTGTCCCCGGGCGGGCCTCGCCGCCGCCGAGCAGGAAGTTGGAACGCGGCGGCACCGGGCGAGGCCGAGGGTGACCCGGGAGGGGAGCGGCGCGGCGGGAAGCGCCAGGTTTGTGGCGGCGGGGGTGCCGCAGCCGGGGGAGGTGGGGGGTAGAGCGGCCCGGTGAGTGTGTGTGTTGCTGGCGGGGGGTCGGCGCTGCTCGCCGCGTAACACTGCGGGTAGTGTGACACCGCACAGGTGGAAGCGGGGAGGGGAGAGGATCACTTAAAAACGGTTTAAATAATGCATGGGCATTTAATGGGATCATTTCATGCACATAGTAAGCAGTACTTGTGTAACTGCCTCATTAGCACAGTGCTGTTCCCTTGATCAATATGGATTGTGGCTGAGGCACATTTTCCAGGATGGTCTCTCTCTTTTAAGATTGCTGGTATTGCTCTCTGAGCTCTGCTAAATCCCAGAACCGTATCTGCTGTCTCGTTTTCGTTTTATATATTTTTTTCGTTTGTTTTTTGTGTGTGTGTTTTTTATAGCCGTTTACATCCGAAGTGGACTTTGAAACCTTTGAAACTGGTTGCTTACTTTGGCGATATGAGTTTGTCATACTACTCCCTAACTTTCCCGATGATTTGAGGTAACTTAATTAAATATATCCCAGCACCTATGGGAATTCATGGAGCAGGGCAGAGGTCATACAGAGAAAGAGAAGAGTAGCTAGTGGTGAGTCAAGGTAATACTGTTACTGAGCAAAAGCAACTTTTCTTTAAAGGGAGTTCTGGCGGTGTTCCAAACTGAGGCTCTCCTGTCCCACCTTGGCAATATGGATAGCTGGTGGCAGACCCAGACAGACAGTAGTGACTGAAACACTAACTTCTCACCATTTGTAAGGCATTCTGAGCATCCTGAGGAACAGGCATGTGTCTATTAAGCAGTTTGTCCAAGATCAAAGAGAGAGTCCTGGCTGTCTGGTAGTTACTGGTCTTGTGCTGTACTGAGTGAAATTCAAGAGACACTGAATTTTGCAAACATTGTGAAAACACTGATGACACGTGGAGAAGCAAGTAATGGCTACAAGTGTGTGTTTTCTTGAAGTAACAATTTTTCTTGTGTCTGACATTTCTGGTTTAAAAGTGGGTTTAGGAATATGGTTTCTGTGTTTCCCAGTGGTTTGGGGATATGAAGTAGACAGGAGTACAGTTCCCCAAAATGCTGAAATCCAATCTTGAAATGTGATACCTAAATGCTTTCAGTTCTTGTCAGAATTGAGGTTAAAGGCTGTGGTGTAACTCGGACTTCTGGTTTACCTCCTGTGCCTCATTGTCCCATACAGTAGTTCTTGACTAGCCTGCTTTATTTCAGAGGCTGACCAAGCAGGAATTCTGGCAACTGGTGCACCAGAGCTATGGCTCTGAGCTGGGCCTGAACAGTGAGGAGATGGAGAGCTTCCACTCATCGTCTGAGGACAATGGGCAGTCTCGGTAAGGAGAAGCTATAAAGCTTATTGAAGTACTCTGGGAGGAACAATGTCCTGTTTCTTAGAAATTCTGTTTTCAAAGTGTTGCTGTAGCCTTTCTGGAAAGGTTAAGCCTATAGTAAAAGGATGCACAGAACCAAACTGCATAAACCGATTATCCATAAAAACTTAATTGTGTTCATTGTCTAAAATGTAGGAGCACAGCTGAGGCGCTTAGAGAAGGGAGATTTGAAGACCTCGTTCTCCTTGGAACTGCTTGGGGATACCAGCAGGATAGCTTAACTAGCAACCTTTTCTCATTAAGATATCTAGTCAGGGTCTGTATGGCCTTCAACAACATGGAAGGCCTGAATGGAATGGAGCTACACATGACGTTCAGACTCTTTCTGATGTAGAGTCTGAAACACTTGTTTTTCTTTGTTCTTCTGATGTCTGAGATATTAGCTTATTTTTGTGTTGTCCTAATCTTGAATTCGGGAGCTGGAATAATCTAACTGTATGTGGGTTATTTTTATAAAACAGTTGCCTGGATTTATGAACTGCCAGTGTCAGTCTGATAACGTGGCTTTAATTTTTCTGTCTGTATGTAAATAAATATGGCTCTACAATACCAAAAAATGTAATTTACGTCTCTTTTCAACACTGTCTTATCTGAGCATGTTTGCTAGAAAATGAAAAAAAAAACAAGTTAATTGCAAGCTTTTTTCTCCCCCCCCCCCCCCCGTAATAAAAATGCATAATTTTGCAACTCTGGGGCAGGGGAAAAACATCTTCTTAAACTTTTTTAAAACCTTTTTTTTCCAAGTTTGTTCTTGGCTATCTCCATTTCCTCTTTTTCTACAGCACGCACTCTCTGTGGTTCACCTGTACTTGGTTTTGCTAACTTTGTGGTCGGAAGCTGAACATTCTGAGAGGTGGTTAGCATGGGGAAAATGGCTTGTGAGATTAATGAGCTGGATGTGGGAAGAATGAGTTAGTAGTTTTTGAAGTTAGCTGAACAGACATGGTTTGAATACAAGAATCACACATGAGAAGCTTTCTCAGACCATGTATCTCCAATGACATCTTCCTTCTTGCTTTGGACAGGTCCAGCATTTGTGAAGATTCTGGAGAAAGGGATGAAAAACTGCCTAAAATGATTGGTTTAGTTCGGGAGCCCATGCTTCAAGCAGAAGGAGAGTCACTCAGTAGACATGCGTTGCCAGGAGTAAGTCCTGACACAGCCTTTCTTGCTATTTGTAACTGATAAGCATATATACTTGTATATGCTTATTAAGTATAGGATGCATGAGCATTTTAACTTCTAAAGAAGCCCTTGGGAATTCATAGTAGTCTAGACAGTTTTCACATCAGAAAATATGAATACCTTCAGGTTTCAGGAATATTTATTGAGTTTGGAAATGATCAACATTCATAAAAGAATATTGATTGTGTGAGTTGCAGCAATGCCTTATCACTAATCCACTGCATAACCTGGCTGGAACACTGAGGCTTAAGCCCTGTCTTTGTGGGGTGTGTGTTTTTATTACGAAAACCAAACAAAATTAACTTTGTTTTTTATCCACCTTTCTAGGGACCATTTTTAGCCAAGTGCTTTATGAAAGTAATGCTTTTGTTTGCTTACAGTGCTTTCTTGCTTGTGCTGTTAGTTGTTCATAAAGTATCTCCTCTTCTGTCTTTCCTATACATGAGGTTTATTGAAGGGTACTTATGCTGTGTTACCCTTGCCTTCAAAGGTCAGTTAGTCTGCTGTTATGAATATATGAAACCTTTTTTTTAATTGCAATTTCTGGAAATGTTTCAAAAAGAAAGTGGAACCCCCCTGTTTCATATAATATAGATGAGTTTTGCCTTAATGCCTTGGGTTAATACATGTTACCAGCATGAATGCTTCGCTCAGTACTGTATAATTTTGTGAATATGTTTTTCTGTTTGGGAGGGCAAGTGCATTGGTAGCAGTATCTGAGGTGTGCACAGTGCCCAGCACAGTTGCCGTATGCAGCTGTAGTCCTGAAAGGTTACAAACATTTTCACTTAACAGACACCGCAAGGGAAAGATCTTGGAAAAGCAAATAGAGCAGTAAAACATTTCCTATAAACTTCAATAGAGTTGGGTACCTAGCTGCTGTTTCTGCTTTGGAAAATCTGGGGAGGGAAGAAGGGAGATGATTGTAGCAGTTTTTACTACCATGTAAATCTTCTGGCTTTTGTCACTTGCTAAAACTGATCTGGAGGTTAAGCAGGCTTTAAATAGTTCTGCCAAAAATCCAAGTTAATGGCTAGAGACTTGTACCCAACAAACAAGACTGGTATGTGTCAGATGTTAAAAACTTAGTTAATTGGGTGATGGTTGTCTCTCATGGAAATCCTAGCAGTACGAAACCAGATTTTTGGAGAGATGTAACGGAGGCCTAGGAGGACTGTGGATGTTGGTCTCTTTAGGATAACTAAAAAGCTGCCCAGGTAGCCTTGGTTTAGACTTGTAAGCCCTAGTTGCACAAGAACAAGCCATTTAAAACTAATTGCTCTGCCTGGAAAAGTGTTTTGTTTACCTATGGGGCGCCACACCCAGAGATGTCTCTTGCCTTGCTGGTGCTAAATGTAATTGGGCATGTTGGTAAGCAGGAATGCCTGAGGATTTGGTCTGTATGCAAGGAAAAACATTAGGATTCTCCCTTGTATAAACTGCCTTTAAAAAGTCTTAATTATAGTGTAAAAGCACAGTCTTGATAAATGTGTAACTAAACTTTAGGTTACTGTTTCAGCGTAACTAAAATACGTAATGAGTGTGTTCAGCTATATGTGTCACTTGGTATTTCTCAAGAATGCCAATGCACTCTCCACAGCCCCAGGATTACAGCGTATTTTGTAGAAGCACAGGGACAGTAGGAGGAGGTGGTAGTGCTCTAGAATTTATCTGTCAAAACCATTGCACTGATGGAGCAAAACACAGTTAACACTTTCCAAAGACTGGAGGAAAACATGCTTAACCTCTCCTTTACTGCTCTGATAGACAAAATAAGTCCCAAAGTTCTCTTCAGAGGAAGCTGTGAACTAATGGAGGGGTTGGCTATAGGACTTGGCCTGTCTTGGAAAAAGTATTGTCAGTAGCTGTCCGTAGCTGATTAAAAGAAAAACCGTATGTAACACCAGTCGTGGCTCATCTGCTTCTCTAAATGCAGTTCATCTCAGTGTGGGAACCACCTTCTCACCCATATTTTCAGCCATCTTTTCTCCATCCCTTGTAGGGAGGCCTTCCAGTCCCAGAGCCTGCTGTTCACAGGTTAAAAACCAGAAAAGCCTTGGCACAGAGATCAGCAGTATTGGACTAGCTCAGGATATAATATATAAAGAAGAAATTACACATCTTCAACTCCACCTGACACATCTGAAAATCGTTTCTCTTTAGTGTAAAAAAAACTAAACACCCACCCACATCCCTCCGCAAAAAATAAAGTAACCTTCAAACCCCAAGAAAGCCAATTTGAGTTATTCCAAAGGCCTCAGCATGAATCTCCTCTGCCCTGACATCATGAAAGGCTTTTTTGTAGGAGCCCTTGTCTTCTGACATGAGCCTGGCATTCCTGTTCTGCTTGTGGCATGGTAGGGCTGCTGTTATGCTGCTAGTGGGGGCTCCATTTGTTCACCAGATCCCTAATTATCATCAAAGTGCAATGCAGGCTCTTTGGATTTGAGCTGGATCTGTATGTCAATTTTTAGACTGTTTTACCACAGCTAGCTCCTGTCTTCCATCTGTATTGGCAGAGTATTTTGACATAGAAATGTTGGTTCTGTCCTAGTTCCTGTTGTGTGATTGAGTGTAATTTCAGGCATGGTAGCTCTTTTCAATAGGAGCATTTGTTAACTGATCTGCTTTTCTGATGCAGTTTTTTGACCTTGAGGGAGTATTTCTGCCTGCTTATGCTGCAGTTAAATTCATGCCTGCCTGTTTCCCAGCCACCCACCTTCTGCTGATGTTCCTCAGTTGCACAGAAAAGTAGATGGTCTTTATTGAAGAAAGCCAAGTACAGGAAGTACATGATGACTTTTCAAGTAATGGATGCTCTTGCTTTTTTGAGTCAGCGCTGAATAATCTGCAGGGATGATGGTACATTGCAGATGAATTGGAGCTACTCAATAAAGGAGGCCTGATCTTACTTATTTTATGGTCTGTGTGGTACTGCATGTAGAGGCTGTAATACTGCTGATTTCAGCTGTTTCATTGGAGGCAACAGGAGCTTTGAGGAGAGATTTAGAATGAAAGCTATGATTTGATGCTCATAGCCAAGCTTTTTGGCTGGCATTTGGAAGTGTACAAACCTTGTGCATACAGTTCCACTAGAAATTACTTCTTGAAGTATGCAATGGCATGTAAGGTTAGCCACCAGTTCTTAAAGTTTAGGGTTAAGAGCTGCATCATTGATTCAGTGACTGATGTTTTTGGGGGTTTCCTGCTTATTGGAGATGGCAAACGGTACTCTGTTGCTTAGTTTCTGAGAAGTAACATTTTTATAAGTAGGATGGCTCTAGCCAGTGTTTTAAAACTTTTTTGTCAAAGGGTAATGGAGCTCTACAAAATAAGAATGCATTTCAAATATATAATTTGGAATTTCAAATATCTAATTGCTGATAAAAGGGAGGTCTTGTCTATTTCATTGTGCTTCTCCTCAAGGTTATTGGACCCCTGGCTAAACTGTCAGGAAAAAAAAACCCTGATCAATAAAAAGTAAAAAAAATCTGTGTTAGTTTAATGAATATGTAAATGCATCGATGCAGGGAAGGGGACCAAACTGTGCAGGTGGTTGCAGGAGGACTGGATGAGGAATAAACTGTCTCTTTTAAGGCAGCTTTTGGTATAACAGTACAGATAAGTAATTCTGTTACTGGTTACCAGAGTAAAGTGAAAACTTGAAATAGAGGAAGGGATATAAGCTGTGGCAGTGGAAAAGGGAGAACTTAGTGGAAAAGGGAGAACTTAGTGTTGGACTGTGTGGTAATTGGGCAGATAGAACTTGTGTCTGCTTTTACATGGCTTTATTCTTTGATGGTAACTTTTTTTTTAAATGGCTTCTGATGACAAATGCTTTTTTTTTTTCTTTCCTCTTGGTTGTTTAAGGTGGAGGAGTCCCCAAGTGAGAAGCAGGTAAAGAAGAGCCCTCTTCCATCTTCAGAAAGAAAATCTGTTAAACTGGTCAGGAGCAGGTCTTTAGAAAAGTCCTTGGACCTGAATGAGAATGAAGATCCTCCAGAGAAAAGCAGTGCCTCAGACAGTGAAGAAGGTAAATCTCTTGGCAGTTGGAATCTATAAGTCCATCTCACTTCTGGAGCAAGTTAGAGAACTTTCTGATATTATGAAACTTGCTGCTCATTTGTTTCATGGAATTGTAGCAGCAACATCTTTGTATCTTAGTTTCTGGGGAGGAAGAAAAAGTTGCTGGTGCTCAGAATGAAAACAAATCGTGGTTTTGCTTTTTCTTCTTTGGTGGCTAGAGAGTTGCTAACAGCTTAAACAAAAAGATTAAACAATAGGTTTATTTGACAATGTGGTGGTGGTTGCTCACTTTTCATGCTCTCATGGGTACTTCAAATATTTTGCTTTCTTCTGTTTTCACTTCTTGGGAACTGCTGGGAAACATTTTTGACCATTCTCCAGTTTTTGAAAGATTTACTCACCCCCACTTCATTACACTTCTCCCTAAGGCATATGGGCTTCAGTGTTATTGATGGGGTAAACTGAGGAACTCACTGAAAACCCAGGCAAGACAACTTCTCAGACTTCAGGAGTGTACTGTGCATATTTTGAATCTGGTCTGAAGGTGAAAAAACCTTCACATGTATCTTTGAGCAGATAATACTTTGTGTTCCAGCACAGTTAGTATCTTAATGGATCCTAATATCTCATCCTCAACTCCTACATCATTACCCAGTATAAGATGAGGAGAAACTTGGACCACAGTAGTGCAGTGATTGTAACCTGGCTGTTCTGTGCTTCCTTTCCCCTTCTCACTGTAGGAGAGAAAAGCATAGCTGTATGTCTTATAGTGGTTTTGGTATAAGTATTTCTGCTACCTCCTGGGGAGATAGTAAGGGCAAACTGTGCCTTCTACCTAGGCTGGATGACAGAGATACTTGTGCTGTGGTCTGTGGGTGCTTGTTCTGTGGTCCCGTATTAACCACTGACAACTTCTTGCTCTAAGTTGAGTGTTTCACTTACCTTGGCAAACTGTGCGAAAGGGCCATAGTTGTTCAGACGGCTCACTAAGTTGTGGTGGATGTTCTGTTAAATATCCCAGTTTTGACCTCTGTAAATGCCTTTGAAATGAGATGTGCACAACCTGGATTGATTCCAAAGTTGTGTGGTGGTGTGCAAATGATAGATAGGAAAGCTCAACAGTATCAGTGTGCTCAGTAGCAGCTGCATATTTCTTTCATATGTGAAGAGATCATTTGCTTTCATTGTCTGTTGACAGGAATAGAGGAGTTCAGTTAATTGAGGCCAGTTCTTAATCTGGCTGAAAAACTTTGCATCTCATCCTTTCGGAGTTAGCAACTGAAGTTGCTTGTAGATGTCATGATGTTGGAATCACAGAGTCATGGATTGAACTGGCTGCCTGCAAATTGTGGTTGTTGGCTGAGGATGTACTTTATATTCATCTAACTTTCCTTTTGTTCACCCATACTGCTTCTGTGCTTGCTTGTGGGTATCTTGCAATTTTCCTGTTCTTAGTACCACATCTCTCTTCTGTCTCTGGATTTTATTTTGCGACAAAGGTCTCCAGTGAAACTGATGCGAAATGGTCCTGTTGTCTTTCATACTGCTGTTTGCCTAAGTGCTAGCAGAAAATATTCCCCATCACTTCTGTGTTGGTAATGTTGAATAAATAGAGCATATTAAATTGGAGATGTCTCTTTAAAAAAAGAACTGACTTCATGCTGCTTTTCCTATTTCTCCCTCCCGTCCCCCAAGACTAGTCTTTCTTATTCAGAGCAGGATTTTCTAGTCCCACAGCATTAATCTTTTCTTTCAGATTCCCTTCTTCATGCTTAGAATATTTTTCTTCTGTTTCTCTGTCTGGTTTCTATTGCAGTTGTCCCATACTCTTACAAGGTGAATTCCTTCATGCAAATGAAACTAGCTTTCCTACATGGCAAAGGTTTACCCATGCAATTAATTTCTCTTGTGGCCTCTGGCTCATGTGCAGGCTACCAGTGGAGGTGTCCTGGCAGATAAGGTGATGGGCAAGCTCAAGACTTGTACTTCCAACTGCAGGTTCAGCTGACACCCAAGCTGCAATGCCAGAGCCTTAGCAGCTCTTCTTCTGTTGCCCTAAGTCATTCTCACATTGTTTACCTGGGAGTGGGGGATGTGCATCTTCCTATGCACAACTGGGCCTTTTGACTTGCATCTTGGTGCTTTTGTTTGGTTTAATAAATTGGAGTATCAGTCTCAAGCCATGACAAACTTCTGGCTAAGCTAAAAATTAGTTTTTGAGGTCTAGATTCTGAATTTCAGAAAACGATTTTTAGGTCAAGCATAGAGTATCTACTTCCAAAATAGAGTCAGAAGATTCTGGATTTCCTCACATGACTCTTGTATGTAGGTTTTGGTTTGGTTTTTTTTTGTTGTGGATTTTTGGTTTGTGTGGTTGGGTTTTGTTGGGTTTTTTGTTTGTTTGTTGTTGGGGGTTTTGTTTGTTTTTTTGGTGTTTTGGGTTTGTTTTTTAAATGACAGTGTTCAGCAGCATAGAATACTTGGAAATTAGAAAGGGGGAAGCAGGAAACAGTCTTTTGTGTTGGAAATCTTTACCGTGTATGAGGACATGATAAATCCCTTATCCCCTTTGTGACTTATGCCCTTTGTGAGACTTTCTGTATTGTACTAATAACCACCTTAAATGTGTGGTCTGCAGGAGGGCATAACTGCTTGTGCTGTAGTGCTGTGGGATGGGTACACTGACCTTTTTTGCAGAAAGGGATATAAAGGGCAGAAGATATTTTAAAGGCAGGGTGGTTGAAATTAGTTCAGTCCTGTTTGGTTTTGGGTCAGCCGTCAGCACACACCCCCCCCATGTGAGATTTTTGGATGTGCAGTGTATGTAAGGAAAAGTGGCCCTGTTGTCTTGTTGCCATTTTAATCAAAATACTGGAAGTGTGTATTTTGAATATATAAATACCAATTACTTGTTACTTTGGGGTTTGGAAGATACATGGTTGAGTTATCTAAAGGCATGAGGTTTTTATCTTGTGAACTGGAAGAAGCTGGCGTTGTTATAATTCATACTCAGTAACTCCCCAATTTAATTTTGTCCTTAGTGTTTTAAAGTTTAGGGGAGTTCTTTGATAATGGTTAATATTGCTGATGCAGTCATTAAATAGATGGTGTCTGGAACATGTTCACTTCAGGAACTGATTTTATTGACTTGATTTCAGGTGTATATGGTTAAAGGCTCCTGTCTGCATACCTTTTTGTGCAGTGTGCAATTTTTACCTACCCACAGAGGCATAGAAATCCTCACAGTGCCAAGATTTGCATGCATGCTTCTTTCTCTCCTGATCCTCCCCCAGCTCTGTGGAGTGGAAAAATCAACCATGTTATTAATTTGTTTTATAGCTTATACTCTTATCAGTTCAGCTTTTTTAATTTGCTTGTGGTGTGTGCTTACTTTGAGCTGTTGGTTGTTTACAGGAATTTTAAGAACATTTTTTTCCCTCTCCCCCTTTCCTCTCTTCCAGTTTTCTGTCTCTTTTCTTGTGTTGCAAATTTTTCCAAACCTCTGCAATCACTGCTGCATCATGATATTATGTTCAGATATTATTTCACATCTTGCCTTGCAGTGATGAAAATGACCTTATGAAGTGCAAGGCAATAGTGGGGGAGGGAACAGGCTTGCTGCTCTCATTACTGAGTGCCCTGGTTCAGTCTAGGTTTACTTCTGGATTTCTGGGTCCCTAGGGTCCTAAACTAAAGTCAGAATAATCCTATGTTCTCTTATCAGACAGCAGCATCAATTCATCTATAAATGTGACAGGCTAAGAGAGTTAGTGGTTGATAATTGCATACTGCTGAGGTGTTAGAACAGCATTAAAATTTAAGGAGTTAAGACTGATTTCTAGATACCTGCACAAAACACTCTGTTCATAAACAGTATTTCTAAGCCACACCTAGGTAAATGCTTGCTGTTGTTCTAGTATTGAGGTAAATGAAAGGAAGGTAGATTTATGTGTGAGTTAAAACAGTCGGCAAACAGGCGTATTCATTTGTGGCAGAGACAAGTGGTTGAAGCTTTCTATCCTGTTTAAATTGCTAGCATGTAAACTGTACAGTTAATCTTTGCTATGCTTCTGTTCCTGCTTGCTGCTTCACCTACAGATAAACTCTGGGAAGCCCAGATGGAAGCGACTTGAAGTTTGTCAAGCTCCTGGTGTATGCAGTAACTTTCTTCCACAGGTGTGGAACTCACAGCAGCATTCATACATGCATGCACCTTCCAGACCTGTTGTATTAAAGGCTTTTCCAGGTTTTCTGGGAGAGAGTTGTTTGAATCTCAGCATCCAAAGTGGCTGATGGGCCTAATCTGTCAGCCCAGTTTCAGCTTGGATTTTTTGAAAATACTGCTTTATGTGATAGCACCAATTTTAAAAATTTGTTCCAAGGGGTGAGAGTAAGTAAAAACATATTTCTTAATAATGCTCTCATGCACTTGGCACTTCATTGACTATTCCTTATTAGAGACATGACTAGATACAAATACTGTACAGGAATATTGTGTAGACCCATGGATGCTCTTGTTAAGACTTAGTACAGGGAGGACAGACATCATGCTCAAAGAGTAAAGTATCTCAGTAGCAAGGTCTGCACATCAAGGTAATAATGTATGGGCTTTGTGCATATCATAAGTTGCTGTGGCTTGTTGAATTACCTTGCATTATCATAAACATAGTAGCTGTCCTCAGGAGTTTCAGGTGAATGTAAAGTTGTGTAGTTCAGCTGAGCCTCACTGGGGCAAAGGTAACTTGTATTATCTTGTATTTGCTAAGACATATACAAATAGCTGTCAGAGCTTATCTGATGCACAGTGGCTTGGTCATATGTCTGGGCTTTTGTATTTTTTTAAGTGGTAGCAGATTCCGTGGGCCTGTCAAGGTCCAGCTGAGTGAGACTCAGACTAACCAGTTTTGAATTACCTGGTGTCTGATTCCATGCATATTAGCCGATGAGCAACAGGCAAAGAGGATGTCAACACCAATATCTGAAGCTTCCTATCTCTTAGTGAAAGGAAGTGGAGAGTGAACTCTGAAAGAGAGGTCTGTAATGTTGAGGCCTTGTTAGCTGAGGTCAAGTTTACAGTTCACTTGGTCTGCATTTTGCTGGAATTGGGTTCTGCTCCAAGAGGAAATACAGTGAACATAAGCTGAAAAGCCAGGCTGAATTTCTGGCTTCCCACAGAATGTTTCAGCAGAGCAGAATCTGTATTCTGGCATGTAATGACTGCATATTGGCTGGTTAAATGTATCTCTTAAAATACGTGTTTGCTTTCTGTCCCCACTTGTAATTGCATAAGCGGAACATAGCATGGGAAGGAAGTCTCTCTTTCGTGCAAGCACAAAAATATGGCAGTCATGCTTTGCTTTTGGAATCCTACACTGAAGTATGATAAGGTCAAAGAGAACATTTTTGAAGGCAGATGTGTAACAGGGACTTCTAGCAGGCTAGAAGCAGCACTAGACTGGAAGTCTGCTCAGTCAGAATTGGATTTCATTGAGGGACTGTTGTGTTCAGTTGCTGTGTTTGCATTCATCCATACTGACTGCTGCTACTAAGCAGTAATGTTTTAAGTGCTGTAACCTTAGCTTATAGGAGCCATAGCTTGATATTTAGGCTAGCTTTGCATTGGTGGCTAGCACTGACCTTTGCCAGCTCTGAACTTTCATTTCTATCAGTTGAAAGGTTAGCTAGACTTTCATCTGGTTCCCGCAAGATTTGCTTTCAGGCTTTTTGTTTTGTTTCAGTAATGTGGGTGGGGGGTTTTGTTTGGTTTTGGTACTCATACCTTAGGATGGACTTGCTCCTAAAGCATAAGCAGCTTGAGTTGGGGTTGGCATAGGAAACTGTTTGCCCTCCAGGATCATAATTCTGTCCCTTATACCCTGCAAGAGTGGCTGAGATGACCACGAAGCTGAGTCACGCCAGCAGCCAACAAGAAGGAGTAAAATAGCAAAGATCGGTGCTGCAGCCACAGAATGGCACTGGGGTGCTTGTTGCAGGTTTTGAATTGGGGATGGCAATCTTGATGCTCTTTTCAGGACTGCAAAATGGAGCAGGGAACCTCTTGCATTCCTCTTACGATTCGGTATGGAGGGAAGAACTGTATGGGAGCTTACCTGGTCTCTTAGACTGTGAACACTATTAGCATTACAGATGTCAAAGGCAGAATTCTGAAACTAGCCATAAGTAAGAAAGCCAGTATAGTTTCACTGTGCTGCTTGCTATGCATGTGTCCTTTGTATAATAGTTATGTATATTAATGAAGATTATGCTAACTTTTTGTCTTCCACAATGATTCTTGTAGTAGGATTAGTAGAATACTGAAGACAAAACTAGAAGGATGGGACCTTGTGATGTTGATTTATCATTTTATGTTTGCATAGGGAAATGGGGGAGTGGTGTTGAAAATCAATTCTGGACTTTGTTTCTGAAGACAACCTACTTACCAAATCATGTGCTGCTGTCATTACTGTTTTTTTGAGAGTGAGAAACAAATGCTGATGCAAGCTTGGGAAGGATTTGAGCTGTAATAAAGCTTGGAACATTATAAAGTTTCTTCATAATACTGTTCTTAATGTGACTTCTCTGCCTTTCCTTAGCAGTGAAGGAGACTGTCTCTGAGAATGATCTCTATGGGAGACTTTTTATAAACAGAGTTTTCCATATCACTGCAGACAAGATGTTTGAAATCCTTTTCACCAATTCTCACTTCATGCAGAGGTTTCTCAATTCCAGGAGTATAGTAGGTAATGCACTCTTCTCCTTTCTGTCTGTGTTGCAAACTATCCTGAAAATTTCGAACTCTGAGAAATTATATAGGGCTAAGTTGAATTCTAAGGTTCTCATTGCTTAAAAAGAATTTTGAAGCTTTGAAGCTTTACTATGAGAGAGGATATTTAAAGCTAGCCTGTTGTTTCCATAGATTTGTAGATCAGTTATACTTCAATGTAAAATCCTCATTTCAGTGTACCACAAAACTGCACCTTAATGGCTGAATTTGGGTTAGGCTTTTAAAGTGATGCAATCTGTGGGGTATTTCTGATTATGTTGTGTTCCAGAAATAGTGAAACATGCACAGCTGGCGCAGGGGCAAGATATTTGTATCCTCCTAAAAGATACTCACAGGCTTTAATTTTCTGGATGAGTAAACTTTATTCATTGATATCATATGAACAGAAATAAAGTCAAAAAGGGTAATAATATTTATTCAGTGTCAGCTTGGCAGGCAAAGTGGCAAAAGTGACATATTTTCATTTAATTGCTTACTCTTCTCCCACCCTCAAGTCTCTTTCAGTAGACCCAGGTTCAGCCCCTTAGTACTTCACCTTTGTTCATCAGTGAACTAGAGTTTTCACTTTTCCTGAAAAAAACACACCCATTTGGAATCTGTTTTCTGTCTCTCTCCCCACTACTGTTCTTAAATTGTTAAGATGTGAAAAAGCAGAGATAATGCTTTTTAGGTAATCTACATGTGAGGTTTTGCATAATTTCTCATCTAGATGCAGTATCAACCCCTTGGAATAGAGATTCCAATGGCAATCAGTTGAGGACTTTGACGTACACTGTAACAATTAACAATCCACTTTGTGGGAAGTTCACAACTGCAACTGAAAAGCAGGTACTGTGTGCATGTGTGTATCTTTCTGATGCCCTTTAATGCAGGGGAGAGGTCAGATGTACAGCCTGTTGGAGATCTGACCAAGGTTTAGAGTTCAGTGAGCTGCAGTGCATCTGCAATTTAAAGGTAGCATCTCTAAGGTAGATTGCTGACTCTCACCATTAGTGAGTAAATGCTGATGAAATCAGAGAGGCTTTCTGCCTTTGCAGATGGCTGTAAGCTTCTGCCACAGACTTTGTGGGCAGAAATATTAGCATCTCTTATGAATTTAGGGGTGAAAAGATGCAATGAAATGCTTTCAGTGTCTACTTACGGGCTCTCCAGGAGAGATGGAAAGAGTCTAGCAAAGGGCCACTAAGATGATTAAGGAAATGGAGCATCTCACGGGAAACAAATGAGAGCTGGGACTGTTAAGCCTGGAGAAGGCTCAGGGATGATCTTACAATGTGTCTGTAAGTATCTGAAGGGAGAGTGAGGGTGACAGAGCACTGGAATAGGTTGTCCATTGAGGTTGTGGCATCTTCTCCCCTGGAGATACTGGAAAGCCTGGTCCTGGGCAACCAGCTCTAGATGGCCCTTCTTGAGCAGGGTCCTTGGACAAGATAACCACCAGAGGTGTCTTCCAATCTCAAGCATTCTGTAATTATGCTTTGAGAAAGGTCTCATAGATCAGTCTCAAAGAGCAGCTGTGGTTGCGAGTCAGTGGCCAGCCTTGCATCTGGTACTTGAAATGGCAGTGGGGAAATACTGTTGCACAGGGAGGCATCTTCTCTTTCCCACCCCATCTATACTTGCCATTAGTAACTTTTTTATTCTGGGTGTTCAGGCTCTCTCCCTGCTCTAGTTCACTTGAAGTTGTTGATCTAACCTAAGGAATTCAGGCTGAAAGGGGGGGTGGGGGGGTGGGTGTGGTGGTGGTGAGAAGCCAAACAGGTACCATGAATATACCTTCTTATTTTCTTTTACCGTAGATCCTGCATAAGCAAAGCCAGAAAGGTCAATCTTACCAAGTGGATGCTGAGGTGCTGACCCATGATGTCCCCTACCACGATTATTTCTACACTGTGAATAGATACTGCATCAGCCGCACATCCAATCACAAGTGTCGATTACGGTGAGCCTGAGTGGTGCACAGTGGGAGGGGAGAAGCTGAGGCAGGTATGTTACAGGTTGATGAAGTGTGCTTCTCTAAAGATCTGCCATCAGCATAGAGGAGGTCAGCTTCTCTTGAAATTAGGGATCTCTTCTGAAAAATAAGCTTGGTTTATTTCTTGTCACATGTATGCTGTATTTAGATTTCATTAATGCAGTGAGAAATGAACTCTTACTTTGACTCTGAGGTATGGATCTCATCTCCAAGGCTGAACTGGGCTCTGAGTGGCCTTGAATTTTTAAGTGCACCTGTGTGAGTGGGGAAAAATTGAAACTATGATGTTTTATTACAGAGTTTCCCAGATATCCTTGCTAAGGGCCTGCAGAGGGGACAGTTTCATAAGAAGGTACAGAGAAGATGGAAATGTACCTACTTTTGAAGGGAGGGTGCTTAAGTGAATCAGACTTCATTATTAAGCGCTACCTAGATATGGGAATCTAAAAAGGCACTTCTCTTTTCTCTCTCATGTGTTAAAAATGCGCTTAATGTGAAACTTGATCCCTTCAGATGCTTATGTGACTTTCTGACTATATTATCATTTCTTGTACTGCCTCTGTTTTATCTCAAACTTCATCAGTCCCCAGGAAAGGTAAGGAAGCCTGAATTTTGTTCTGGCTTCTCTCAGGCTATAAACGCGTTGAAGGCTCGCTCTCTACTGGGAGAAGAAAGGTCCTGTTCTGAATGATTTTTTTTTTTTTTTATATATATTTTTCATGAGTCCCTCTTCCTCTGAGGGCTGTGGTTTTTTTATCTGAGACACATGGCAATCCCAGGGTAAGACCAAAAACCTAGATTTCAATATGGTGCACAGAGCATGCGTGTATAGAACAGAAGGTGCGTGGTGGTGTTACAGCTGGCTTTATTATACTGTGTTTAAAATGGCTCAGAAATACTATTTGAAAGAAGCTGTTCTATTAGACTAGAAACACAGTGGGCTTACATTGATTTGGGTAATTATTTGCAAGCATTGAAAAAAGGTATGTTCTTGACTTAAAGAGTTCAAAATCACAGCCTACCCTTTTGTCCTTTGTGAACAGCTTTGGGATTCATTCAGTTCTTAAAAGCAACACTCTGAAGGAATCTATGCCATTTCTATTCTGGAAGCATTATTGATTAGCTTGACCTGGGGAATGCAAAGCAGGAATGTCACTTCCCTTCTGTCGTACAGAAAGACAGATTTTAGTTTTGGGGTAGGATCTGAGTACTCGGCACATAAGTGGTGATGATGAATTTTAGCTGCTGCCATTGCACTGCTCATATAATACATATGTATACACATACAGAATAAATTCAGGACTTCATGATCTGAAAGCCTCAAGCCTATTTTGAATGTGCGTTAAAATGTGATCACTTCAGAGGAGAGAAATTCTCTGCTAGTCTGAAGGAATGCACTTCAAAATGTTTCTTGTAATATGGACATTCAGATCTGAGTCTTTAGCTAGATATGTGCTCTTTGGTACTGTCTGTCTTACTTCAGTGTAGGTGCTGTGCAGGTGGAAAGCCAAGGCAATTGCAGTTAGTATTTCAGATTATGGACAAAAGCTAGAGGCCTGCTTCTGATAAGAGATTTCTATCACTGTGCTACCCAGAAGAGCACTCTTTCACTATTGTATTCTGTTTATTAGGGTTTCTGCAGAAGTGAAGTACAAAAAACAGCCTTGGGGCCTTGTCAAGTCTGTAATTGAGAAGAATACCTGGGGAGGTATACAGGAAAACTTCAAACAACTTGGTGAGGCATTTTCTTTGTGCTGGAGTAAAGTGGCTACCTTTCCTATGTATGTTTTCATGTCTGTCAAACTTGATTCTTTAAAGAATTGCTTGAAAAGAAGGCAACACCAAAGGAATCTCGAAGTCAGAAGTTCCTGTAGTCCACATGTCTGCCAGTTCCAGGGTATAAAAGAAGCCTTGTGGCTCAATGCTAACAAAAGGCTTGTGTGTATCTTGTTATAATAGCTTTCTGAAGGAAAAATGAGGAGCAGCAGAAAAGCTGTTACTCACAACTGTGTGTATCTGTCTTTTAAATACTTCCTTGACTGTGGGTATGAGAAGAGAAGCAGTAGCACTCCTCAGGCTCCTTGGCTATGTCTGTTACCAGTCTGGCCGGCCATAGCTGCAGGCTCAGAGCCTAACAGAATTCCTACTCTCAGTCTAGCAGTGTCTTGAAGTGCTCTTCCAACTGCTGTAGAACATATCATTAAACAATCGTGCATAGGCAAAACGTACACCATACCTGAAAAGTGTACTAAGTGCCCTCTAGCAAATAGAACAAGTGGTACAGGTCAAGGTGTATTTTATGTCAATTACCTGCTTTTATGTCTGTTTAATAGAAGGTGCAGTTACTCCTCTCACTGCCATCCTGCATATCTCACAATTGTGCTAGGCTTTTCGGCTCTCCATTTGAAAGTTGGGTAACTGTTGTTTTCCTACTGCAGAATCAGATCTCCTAATGGAGGAATATGCAATTAATCAGTCCATAGAAGACACTGGAAAATTAGTTGCCCTGAGACGAAGACGACGCACTTTACACCGGAGTCTGGCAGAATCGCTTCCCAAACGTTCTTCCCAGCACTCCTCTGGTGACATGGGAGTACAGTCCCAGAGCAGCATAGTAGGTAGGAATATTTATATCAAGTGTTTTCCAGAAGGTGTATTCCAGAAAACTGACTCTTAGAATAGTGCAAAAGTAACACTTGTGTATATGCTACTTTCACTGTCTATGCTTTAGTATGCTTAAGCCTGCATAAAATAGATTTGGAGCATGCATAATTACTTATGATGAGTATCTCATGAATACAAACCTAATCTCACCTTCTTTTTCTAAAACAAACAAAAAAAACCCCATCCAATGCCTGAAATGTCTACACTGTACCTGTATAGGATTGAAAATCAACTGGGATCAGAAAGTAATTCAGTATGACTTATGTAAAATTGGTGAAAATTTGCTTTATTTCTTCAGATAACTGCATACCCAAGTCATGAGTTGGTTAAACTTGGTCTTTCAACTCTTGGCCCTGTGATCTTGGTTTTGGTTGGGTTTTGTTTGTTTTTTTTTTTTATATTCAGGAGTCTAAGTCTATTTATTACGCCAAAGAGGGGAGATTTGGGTTTGATATAAGGAAGAAGTTGTGAGGCACTGGATCAGGTTGGCCAAGGAAGCTGTGGCTGCAAATCCCTGACAGTGTTCAAGGACAGGTTGGACAGGGCCTTGAGCAACCTGGTCTAGTGGAAGGTGTTCCTGCTTGTGGTGGGGGGTTGGAACTAGATGTTAAGGTCCTTTCCAACCCAAACCATTCTGTGATTCTATTTCCCACCTGCTTCTGTAATTCCTGGATCACTGAAGCATTTCTTGGAGTTCCACTGTCCTTAGGCACCACAAACTTGGCTGTTAGCACATATAATATTAGCTATACTTACAGAGATGAGGAGCATCTGTGCTCTGATGTGTAGCAGAGAATGGTGGATGTCCTGGGTTCAGCAGTAGCAGTCATGTTTTTCCTTTGTGTTAACTGGTGCAGTGCTGTGTTTTGACTTCTAGCTTGAGAACAGTGTTGGTGAAGCCGATGTTTTCGGTTGTTGCTAAATGATGTTTACCCTGACCAAGGACTCTGTGAGGCTCATGCTCTGCCAGGGAGGAGGGGAAGCTGTGAGGAAGCAGAGACGGGTCGTCTGACCCGGGCTAGCCGGGGAGGTATTCCATACCACAGCACGTCATGCCCGGGGTGGGGGGGTAACTGGGAGTTACCCGGAAGGACACGGGCTTCCGGGTGGAACTCGCTTTCTTGGCCGGTGGTATCGTATTCTCTTCCCTTGTTATTTTCCCTTATCATTGTTTTAGCTGATAGTAGCGGTGGTGATTTGTTGCTGGACTGTTCTTGTCTCAACCCGTAGGAGTTGCACTCTCTCGATCCTCCTCCCCGTTCCTCCGGGAACGGGGAAGGGGAGAGCCCCGGTGCGGGGGGGGGGAGACGGACATGGACCTCGATTGTTGTCAGCTCGGCACCACTCACTGGGAGTGAGTGAACAAGTTACCTGACTGGGTTTAAACCACGACAGTCTCCAGGTCACCAGCGACTGGCCCTGACTTCCCTCCAGCCATCATCCCAACAGAGAATGAACTTTGAACATCATGGACCGAATGGACTCGGCAGCATTATAGGGATTGGTCCATGCACTAAGAAAATGATTTTTTTCCTCTTGGTCTGTATGTATATGGATGTATATATGTGGGAGAGCGATGGTGTATTGAAAATGTGGGATCTGAGCACGACGTGAATGGTATGGAATAAGGGGTGGATATAAAGGTGGTGACCACACTGGGAACATAAGCCAGATCAGTTTCATGATCAATGATTCTATTGTATTACAAGTCATTACCATAAAGTACAATGGGATAAAAACCTTAGCCCAAGCCCCACACTTGAAAAACACTAATACAGCAAATACCGGATGGACATAAGATATGATATACTGAAACTGTGAGATCAATAAATCAGCATTGTGACGAGTGACTACCAATCCAGTCAGATCTGTTCCGTGTCCGTCTCCCCCCCCCCCCCCCCCCCCCCCCCCCCCGCACCAGGGCTCTCCCCTTCCCCGCTCCCGGAGGAACGGGGAGGAGGATCGAGAGAGTGCAACTCCTACGGGTTGAGACAAGAACAGTCCAGCAACAAATCACCACCGCTACTATCAGCTAAAACAATGATAAGGGAAAATAACAAGGGAAGAGAATACGATACCACTGGCCAAGAAAGCGAGTTCCACCCGGAAGCCCGTGTCCTTCCGGGTAACTCCCAGTTACCCCCCCCACCCCGGGCATGACGTGCTGTGGTATGGAATACCTCCCTGGCTAGCCCGGGTCAGACGCCCCATCTCTGCTTCCTCACAGCTTCCCCTCCTCCCTGGCAGAGCATGAGCCTCACAGAGTCCTTGGTCAGGGTAAACATCACTTAGCAACAACCGAAAACATCGGCTTCACCAACACTGTTCTCAAGCTAGAAGTCAAAACACAGCACTGCACCAGTTAACACAAAGGAAAAACATGACTGCTACTGCTGAACCCAGGACAGTGGATTTCGTGACACAAGTTGAATTGTACACAGTAAAGCAGCAGTAAGTGCCCTTTCCTAAAGAGGGGAGACAACACTGAGTATAGCAATGAGAGAATATTTAGATCAACAGCATGTGTAATGGACTCTTTACCTGAGTGAGATTACTTCCTGATTACTTAATTTTGCTACTGCTGCTCCACCTCTTCAGGTGAGTGTGTGTGTCTCAGCTTTTGTGCATGCCTTTTGTCCATGGCAGCAAATATGAGTGTAAGGAACTCATGTTCTTTACTATGTTCCATACTAAGTGTGTTTTAGGGAAACAGGAAATTACGTTTAAAGATTGGCCTGCCCATGGTGGGAGGGATAACTCAATTTGGAGAGGACTGCCACACTCTCTCTCACTAGTGTCTGGTCCCTGTGGCTTGATGGCTAGCAGGTGTTCTTTTGAAAGGCTGCCTTCAAGCTGATATATAAACCAAGTCAATAAGGATGAGACAGATCGCAGGAGAATTTTATTTGACCCTGATTGTCAGACTAATGTGAGGAGAGCAAGCAAAAAAGAGCCAGTTTGCAGCCTGTATCTGCTTGTGTGTGCCTAGCAGCACATGTGAGTGTTACTAATGGATGGACTGTAGGCTTCTCAGGCTATCTAGGTTTAATGTGAACATGCCCCAGTGCTGTGTTCTCTGGCTTACTGGGGTAGGGGGAAATCTTGAAGGAAGAGCCTTACCATCCAGCCAACTTGTCTGAGCTGACTGCAGAAATGCCTTAGTGAATGTTAGAGATGATCCTCTGCACCCACATGATCTGTTATTTTTTTCCATCAGAAGCTGTTGAGCTATTCTGTGTGAAATGCTGGGCACTGACATGTATCTGCCGGCATCCTTTAGGAATGTTCTTCGCTGCTTTTTAACCTCCTTCTCTTCCATGCCTTATAGGAAGGAAAAGAGATGCTGTAAGTAGGACCACCACCATCATTGTAGTAATGAGTGTCTTGTAAGTACTCATTTGCATTAAAATGTGGCTTGACTCAAGTTCATCTTGGTCTTTATTTGTATTTGTCTGTACCTCACTTGTACGTTAACATTGCATGTAGCATGATAATTTGAATGGAGCACTCGGGTATAGGAGAGAAATGAATTGTCTTAAGTGACACAAGGAATGAAAATGCTGACTTGCCAAACTAATCTACCTTGCAGGTTTACTTAGGTCTAATCCTAAAAAAAAAACCAAGAAGTCTAGAATTTACTCATTCCTAATCTTAAAAGATCCAGGAGACACTGTTGTCATTCTTACTAGTTGCCATTACACAGCTTAATGCTACTTGGCTAAGAATTCTTTGGACAGATCTTTACTTTCAGTATAGTGCTGCCCCCACACCTTTTTTGGTTCTTAGAAGGTTTCTCTTTTCTTACCTGTTTTTAGCCAAGATCTTGTTTCTGTAGCATTGCAACTGAAGTTGTTACAGGACTTCATTTTTGTTCTCTTCTCTCTACAGCTTGCTGCTCTTGGTCTTGCTGAATATAACACTGTTTCTCAAACTGTCAAAGATAGAGCATGCAGCTCAGTCCCTCTACCATGTCCAGCTTCAGGAAGAAAGCTCTTTGAAGTAAGTTGCATTCACAGTCTTTGCTTTCTTCCCAGCTTATGTGAGGATTTGATCTAAAGAAATAAATTTTAAGCAATGAAACTCAGCAGTGAATTTTCAAAAGCTGCTGGTGCTTCCTGCTTTTCTGTGGTGTGTGCTGATATCCAGTGACATGTCTGACTGCATCTTGCAGTAATAAATTTCTCCTTTGGCAAGTTGTTTTTTGGGGAGTGTTAACCTTAGCTTGCATTTATCACCCTGCTGTGTGACTCATCTGAGAATGTCATAGTGCTGATCACAGAACCAAAGTGCTCACTTCATCGTGTGTGAACTGGCATGATCTCAAATGTAACACTAAAGATTCACTTTAGCTTTTTAGTCTCTTTCTGTGAGTCTCCTGCTAAACCTCCTTTTCCCCTCAAACTTCCATGTTAGGTGTCTTTTGTGTTCAGGCATATAGAAGAGGCTCCAATGTTGCTTCCTCTCTTGAATATGATATCAGCAAACAAGTTGAAAAAATGTAACTTGATTCCTAGTATGGAAGCAGTGTGGTGACCTCTTGTAATAATCACTTGGAACTCATTAAAGTGACTTCATAGGAAAGACCATGTCCTGTGAAGTGTGTGAACTTGCATTATAGACATAATGTGAGGACATTTGGTTTTGGTGGATGTTGTCTGTGAAGGTCTGAGGCAGCATCTCCAAGGCAAGAGGGACTGAAACTCAACTGCAAGCAGCTTTTTAAGTGGCTTTTGGAAAAGGATGCTTTTAGCAGTGGCAGAGCAATCGTCACAAAGAGCAGTGGCTTTTAAAAAGGCATGGGAGGTGCTTGTTTCATATTTCTGGTTTAATCTCAATCTCTTTCAGCATATCCCCAGAAATGGTATCAAAAGAGGAGATCCCTCAGTACGATAAGGAACAGGTTAAACATGTGAAGGGAGTTCTAAGAGACTCAATTGAAATGCTTGAGCAGGTATGTCTGCCAGTCTTTCCTGGTGATACTCGTGTTTCTCAACACCTCAAGTATTATGAGATGTGTTGATGCAGTTCTGAATAATGACAAAGCAAAGACAACAGTAATTCAAAATACCCTCTTTTCTAAGAAGACTCAAACCATAACATTAAGTAGTTGGTCACCTTGTTATGGGGTTTCTTCATTCAGGTTTATCCTGGCTTTGCTCCCCATTAATATTCTAGATACTGGTAAGAGCTTCATTTAGCTTTGGTATCACAGGGCCACCTAATCTCCAGTGAAAAATGTTTCTGAGAGGCTCCACAACTGTGGAGTTAATCCTTCTCAATAACTGACATTTCCAGGCTCTTAAATACTGCAAGCACTAAAAAAATTGCAAGGTTGCTGAATGCTGTTGTATCTCTCTGATCCTGAAGTCCAGGACTCGTAAACCCCTAGGCTGAGATTTCAACTCAGTAAGTGAAGGACAGTAAATTTGTACTTTGGTACTTTGTTTTTTACTTATGCATGTTCTGATTCTAAGTTCTTTTAGTAAATCTTAAAATGTGACAGAACAAATTACTAGATTACGAAAGCTGGGATGGAGTTCACATGTACCTCTATCCATCATCAGTTTGCGCTGTGTTCTCCCACGCACTAAAGGTAGAAAAAGAAGCCATTTTTTAATTCTCCTTGTTCAGAGGTGTCTTTGCACATGAAATTGTTCTTATCTATTAACTATTTTGATCACAGCTTGAAAAGGCTTATGAATGCTGGAAATGTCACAGTAGAAATAAATTTCATTCCCATGCCATTTTCATTTTCTTTGGTTACTACATGAACAATTCCGAATTCTGAAGTGTTAAGCTGCTTTTTGAACACACAGTGTAAAAAGAATACAAAAAAAAAAAAAATCCTTAAAAGTGAGAATCCAACCACCAAGTAACACTTTAGTCTGGAAATCATGATGCATCTTAGTGCCTGTTACCTTGTGTTTTCTGAGGGTTGTCAATAATTTAAACATATTTTGTGCAGCAAAATGTACTGGGAGGGCCAGGTATTAAACATAAATTAATGCTTTGCTGCCACATTCTTTAGAGCATTTCTTATGAGCATTAACTGTGACTAAACATGAGTGGGGTGGCTTATGTTCTGCACTGGTGTCTGGTGAGGTGCTGAGACTTTATCATACTGGACTGTTAGTATTTATAAACTGCACAGAGTTAGGGAGAGCACAGTAAGCCAACTGTTTATAGAAACAGGGAGGAGGAAATTGCATGAAATCTTTCAAAGAAAAGGAGGGAGACATTATTTTCTTGATAGCACTCACCCATGCAGAAGACTAACTTAAGTAATTGGGGGGGCTGTGATGGTTGTATCTCCACAGCTAAAGAGCTCCCTTTCCGTGCTCCAAAGAAGCTTTGACCACTTGAACAGGACACAGAACAGCAAGACTGAGAGTTAATACCCCCATCAGCTTTCTATTCAGGACGTCGGAAGAACAGATGTGTGTGTGTGTGTGTGTGTGTGTGTATGTGTGAGGCCTTACAAGGTAGGGATTGCAAATGTTACCTTTGGACTCTTTATTATTTGGCTGAAAAGGTGCACAGAATAAAGGTTTCTGGAAGAAGTTCTGCATTCCTGTAGCCTGGTGACCTGTCTCTCCTGCCAGCCCTCTATCACAGGGTAAGCACAGAGCTCTCGGATTGCATGGTGAGTGAGTGAGGGCAGTGGTACTGCCGGTTACCGGATCTGCAGACTTTGGAGGAGGAGAGAGCTGGGCTCCCTTTAATGAAATCACAGCTTTTTATGCCAACTTAAAAAATGACCGTTGATGAAGAACTTTTTGAAGGAAAAAGAAAAACAGGTCGTGGTTTCACAGCCACAGGATCTCTGTGCTTTTTTTAGCCACAGGGCAAAGCAAGTCACAGTCTTGAAGGGTGAATATTTTTAAGATTAATTAACTAACAGGAAATGCTTGATAATCTCTCGCATACCGTGAGCTTTGGCAGTCTGCCTTCTGCCATATGTTTCTAGTTCTCCCAGAGAAATTTCAGCCCTCGGTATTTTCCCTCCAAGAGCTGCTCTTCAGCTCTTCCACATGGTTTGTGCCCACTGGTGATGAAACACCTTTTCCTTGGGCTGGTAAAAAGAAGGGAGCTGAAAATTGAAAATGCAAGCCAGGGAGGCAGCAGCATCCCTCTGAGCTCAGACTCGTTTTAGGGCAGTGCTGGGTGGTGTGGTGCTCAGTCTGTCTTGCAATGGTGCAAACAGCTGAGTTCTGCCTGCAACCTGGGGTGTAGCACTGGCAGATTTTAGCAAGTCCTCCCTCACTTGGAACTGGGGGAACTTCAGAGTAAAAAGATGGATTTTCTCACTCTGAATGAGAAGGTCCTACTTTGCCCATGTATATAGCATGAAGGGGAGTGAAAGAAATGCACTGTAGTCCAGAAGCAGAAAAAATTAGAAGCAAAGACACCTAGTTCTCAACCAGTAGAGATGGGTAGCCTGGTGCAGGAGGTAAGTTGTTGAAGGAAGGGAGTAAAAGCCACAGTGCTACTGGTTGTACATCATTCAGGACTATCACCTGGGCATTCTCTTAATACCTGTTTGACGTGATTTCCTACTCACTAGTCATGGGACTAGCCCAGGATTCAGCACAGACAAAACAGAGCTGTGGTGCTACTGTTCTGATAATTTGGAGACCTTACTGGTGATTTTCCCAGCAGCTGAAGGCATACATCCAGGAAAGCAACCTATCCACAGGCTTCATGGGCCTTTTTCTACCACCTTCTCCAGAAAGAGTGTCTCCACCAGGGATGCACTGGGCCCAGTGTGGATGGATAGCCTGCTGTATGCCCATGAACTTGGAAGCTGTAATTTCCATCCATATACCCTGAGCTTCCCCATAGGGGCACTTTGTTATGGTGTTAGTTGCAAAGATTAACAGTTTTTACGTGTCAAAGGAGAGAAAGAATGGGTCTGGTGCAACACCAGATACTGGTAAGTTCTGCAGGTGTGTGGCTCAGGTAATCAAATGCACTTGGCACAAACAGTGCAAGGAAATAAATGACTGAACTTGGATGTTTGGGATCCTCTGATGAAACCATAACATTCGCCCAGTAACTTCCCCACATGTTTGGAAGTCTCTGAGATGGATCATGCTCTGAAGTGTGTGTGTGGGGGGGGGGCATAAAAAGAAGGAAAGCTTTAATTCCCATCAAACGGCTGTTACCCTCTCAGGAGCAGGGCCCGGCGCTAAGCGTGGCTGCGGGCACGCGTTCCGAGCCGCCACCTGTTGCACTGCCCCTTTAAGGCAGGTGCCCTCGCGTCACGGCCAGCCCCGCCTCTCGGGGGCAGGCATTGGGTTGTTCCGCCGTCAGGTGGATGGGGGGCTCCTACCCGCCCCCTGCTCGCACACCTCTGCTCGGGGCGGGGGCGGCCCACGGCTGCCAATGGCGGCCGGGCTCGGCCGAAGGGGGCGGGCCCGCTGTGGAGAAGGCGGTGGCGGGCGCGAGGCACCTGCGGCCGGGCGGGTAGGCGGGGCGGCGGCTGAAGCTGAGGGAGGGCGGTGGGGAAGGGCGCGGCGCGGCAATGGAGGAGCCCCTCTGCTGCTGCGAGTACGTGGACCGGCGGGGCCGGAGGAACCACCTGGCGGCGTGCTGCTGCGACTGCGAGGACCTGGACGAGGGCTGCGAGAGGTAACGGCTCCGCCGCCCCCGACACACCGCCCGGCTGCGAGACCCCCGCCCAGCGGCCGCCCGCAGGGGCTCTGTGTGTCCCCCGTGGGCAGCCGGTACCCTCTTGGATGAGTGGAGTTGGGGGGGAGCGGAGCAGCGCCCCGCTTCTCGGGAAACTTGACCGGGAAGAGAGAAGGGGTCGGCGGCCGGGCTGGGTGCCTCGGGGCGGGAGGATGCAGCGGCAGGGTCTCGGGTGCGGGGTGGCTCCCCGTCCGCTATCCGGGCTAGCTTGTGCTTCCCCCTAACAGGTGGCTGACATGCAGGTCCCTGCCCCCCGGCGCTCTGGGGAGAATTGCCGACACCGTGGCGGACCGGGTGCGGGTGCCCTGGTTCGCAGGGGCCGTGAAGATCAACGTCAGCCTTGTGCCGCCGCTCGTCCTGCTGCCCGTCTTCCTCCACGTTGCCGCCCTACACTTCCTGCTGGGGCTGGTCGTCCTGACGTCCCTGCCCGTCGTGGTGCTGTGGTATTACTACCTCACCCACAGGAGGAAGGAGCGGACTCTCTTCTTCTTGAGCCTGGGGCTCTTCTCCTTGGGCTACATGTACTATGTGTTTCTCCAGGAGGTGGTTCCGCGAGGCCACGTGGGGTATTCCCAAGTGGTTGCTCTCACGTGCGGGTTAATTCTTATGCTTACAGCCCTGTCTCGAGCCAAGACAGACCCTGGCTACCTTCCCATCCCAGCAAGCGGCGAAAAGGCATTGCACCAGGGTTTGCCCAGCAAGAGTGTTAGAGGGAGGTCCAATGGGCTCCATGCGTCGGGAGCTGCCAGTGGCCGTGCTGCGAATGGTGAAGCTCAGGGCTATTCCCGGATGTCAGCTGAGGAGCCAGAAGGTGTGAAAAAGGACTGGTGTGCTAGATGCCAGCTGGTTAGACCCGCCCGAGCAGGGCATTGCCGGCTTTGTGGCAGGTGTGTGAGGAGGCTGGACCACCACTGTGTCTGGTAGGTTTTGCACTGCTGAGCCTATATGTGTTCTCTCTCATTTTGTTTCCCCCCTATTTAAGTTGGTTTCTTTTTTACAGCTCTTCTCGGGGTTATTTACGTGGAAGACATGCTAATGTACTGTAATGCCGGTACATTTGATTTACCAGTTGTAGGTTGGGTTGACCTGATAGCTGATAACTTCTACAGCATTCAGAATTCCTTCAGAATTGCCTTTGGTTCTCTACTGTTTTTCATCTGGGCTTTCAGGTTTGGTAGTTTCAGATTTGGCCTGTGGAACACTACCAGTCCTGAAATTAACTTGCATTAGTGCCCTTCTAGGCAAGGGAACCCCAAGCTGCCTGTGTGTATGCTGTACTGGAGCCAAAGAGCAGTAACGTATGATGTGTCTTAGCAAAGGTTACTACACTTGCTAAAAGCTTGAGATAAACGGTCTACCACTGTTACCCTACTGGTCTCTTGACTTGTACCTCTAACCTTTCTATAAAAAGCTATAAAGCTTCTTTAAACATGTTTCAAAGTTCTTAGCTGGTATTGTATAGGAGCACCTTGGAAATTAGGATCTCTGACAGCTGGGGGAGGGAGGAAGAAAGAGAAAACAGTTTATTTTCCCTTTAAGCAAAGTAATCTTCTCTTTCCTTTTGGAGGATTAACAGCTGTGTAGGGGAGCGGAACCACCAAGCATTCATACTTGCCCTCTCCTTCTTCATGCTCACCTCTGTGTATGGGATTACGCTGACCCTCCACACCATTTGTAGGGGCCGAACTCCATTTGTGGCATTGTTCTACTGCCCTGGGGCCTATTCTGACTACAGGTGAGATGTCTGTCTGGGAGAGAGATGGGCTGAGTGTGGGCTTGGTCAGGTATCTTATCCTCAAAGGAGAGAAGGCCTGTGCTCTAAGCCTGTGCTGTTGGCTATCAAATCTGATCAAAAAGTGCTCCCTAGAAAGCTCTGGAAGGCAGGGATGCATCACTGCTTTTGCTGAGGCAGGGAGCCTGAGACATGGAGAAAACTTGCCATTTATTTGGAAAAACAAAACAGAAAACATTGGGGGAGCTGGTATTTAAATTCTTTATTGTGTCCTGTATAGATACATCCTTAAATATGTTTGTCCCCCAAGTGCAGATAATGGTCTGACAGTCTAGAATACATGTGTAGTATCTCCCTGTCATCCCTCACTGTTTATCTAGTGACTGTCCCTCCAAATTACCTGCTTAGGACAGACAGCATTAATGTGCCTTGTCTGGTGGGGAGGATGGCGAGAAGCATTGGACATAAGTTCAGAGAGCAGTGCTACCACTGATGGGCAGAGCACACTAGCATGAGTGACTCCACCTTTCTCTACGCTCCATTTCACGATCTGTTGAGTGTGAGCATCGTTGTGTCCCCAAATAAGGATCAAGTGCCTTTACAACAGTAAGCGTAAAGAGCTAGGTTGTGCAATAGCAATGCAAAAGTAGCTCTGGTAGAGTTAAAGCTCTCATTAAGCAAGCAGTGAAGCTTTAATTTTGAGAGAGCCTGTAAGGATTATCTGATGAAAGCAGCAAAGTGAGATCACTGTGGCAGATGCAGATGGGGATTTGAAAGGATAGTGATTACTAGAGAAAGTCACTCTAAAGCAGCTGCTCCAAAACTAAATGGCTTCCTTCCCATCTTTTTCCCTGCTGCCAGCTCTGCTCTGTCGTTCACCTGTGTGTGGTACTGTGCCATTGTAACAGCTGGCATGGGATACATTCTCCTTATCCAGCTGTTGAACATCAGCTACAACGTGACTGAGAGGGAAGCTCGGCTGGCTCTGCGGGACAACACTGGGCGCAGGCTCCTGGGTGGTTTGGTGATAGACACTGGCCAGTATAATAGGGGTTTCCTATGCAACTGGGGACATTTCTTGAGCCTGGGGTCTTCTTCTCCACAGCGCTCTGCTGAAGACATTGTGTGATCCCATCTTTCTGCCGATGATGTTGACTGACTTTCTTTAGCCAGGAGAATGGCCCCTTCCGCTATGACTCCCTATACTCTTCTTCGTGGTTGGTGTATGGGCTGCGTATCCCATCGCTGACAACATCAGAGGCTTTCCCAGGCAGAACGGCTCTTCACGTGCTGTCAGCCAGCAATAGTATGCAGAAAGCAGTAAGCCATATGCACAAATTTGAAGAGGAGGAGCCTGCTGCTTTTTTCCACTGTGAGGAACTTTGTGCAGCTCAGCTTATCAGGAAGAAGAGCACAAGGTTTTGAGAACTGGAATTTTCATTAGGTGTGAACCCTGGCATCAAGAGGAACCTGCTCTGGACTTCAGAGTGTGCACTGATTCCTGCAAAGGTTAAGGAATCCCTGGCTTGTGCCTACATGTGATGTTTCAGAGATGTCAGGAGACTGAACGTGAGAGATGGACCTCTCTGGTCCTTCCAAACAGAAGCAAGTCTGTTTGGCTAAAAGAGACTCTCTAGGCAGTCACTGAGCAGCTCCCTCCTCTCTGGTACATTTTTATCTTTATTTTCTATCTTCTATTCCATCCAGCTGTATACATGCTTGTATTAAGTGCCTTTGTGAGCAAAATATTCCTGTAGGGCTTTGTAAGACCCCTTCACCTTTCAATCCCTAAAGCTGTTATTCCATCCTCATCTGTCCAACTGGGTGAGAAGACACTGTCATCTTCGATCTCATCATTCTTCCTGCAGGCGGGGTCTGTGCTGTTTTGAAGCCTTGGCTCCTATCCCTTCAAGTGTTTCTGCACTGATTATGGATTGTGATATGAGACAGCAGGTAAATACACAAAGTAAAAAAGAGATGTTTTGAAGCAACATGGAACAGGGGATTCTAAGGGGAAAACAAGTACTGTCTGGTGTTACAGTAGCTTTATGGAAAGTATTTTTCTCTCTTTCTGTATGGGAGAAAGGAGTATGTGGGAGAGTAGACAATTCTGCTAACAGCATTTTTGGTCGGTAGAGTCTTGGTCTGTTGTGATCCTGTCTCCTCTTCACCAAGTCACTGTGGAGCTGCCTGACTGCAGATGTGTTTTCTCAAGCCAGGAAGTCAAGGAACACTTTGGCTTCTGCTTTTTCAGGGATAGGATGTGTTTGAGCTGTTTTTTAGGGTAGATGACCTGCACTGGCAGCTGAATGAATGTGTTAAATGTGCTCTGCAAGAATGCAACTTGTTCCTCATCAGCCTGCAACTGTATCATTGCCTGGACTTGAGCTTCAGCTGAAATAACAAGGTTTTGGTGGCAACTGGTTTTTGGGTTTTTTGTGGGTTTTGGTTTTTGTTGTTGCTTTTTGTTTTAAACCCTTTGTATATGTTGTTGGCCCTGCTGTTGTATGAAATACCTGTCTGGAAAAGACTGGGGCCACGGCACGAGAGTTACAGGCCTAAGTTCAGAAGCAGAGGAAAGGGCCTTGCTCTAGCTACTGATGGTTTTAGATGTGCATGCAGCATGCACAGATCATCCTTACCACTGACTCCCCTTGCATGGCAGGCAGCTGGGGGCTGTTGGCTTAGTGATGGAAATTCACTGTGCACTGCTGTGCATTATCTCTGAAGAATGGATGGATGGTGCATGGTGCCAAAAGGCAGCAGGGCTGGGAGTGTCCCTTGAGATCCCTGCCATATTGCTCCCGATTCTGTGTCCCAGTTTCAGGTGAAACCCATAGCCCTCTTTGTACTATTTGGTTTCCTTAGGCAGCACTTTTTATAACCAGCAGATAATTGAGGAGCAGCTGCACTTGAAATGAGGCTGTGTAGAAAGAGTTACCGACTTACTGAGTGTCCCTTATTTCCACTTACCTCTTTTCACCTAGTGAGCAATCTTTTATAAGGAAGTAAAAGGGACACCTCTCTTGCTTCCTGCATCTAACTGAACACACTAAGATATTTCTGACCACTTCCCTGGTCCTAATGTGAAGAAAAAGGCACCAGCTGGACTGTGCCAAGTGTTCCTCTGTGACCTGACTATGTGGAGCTTGGAGACTGCCTGTAGGAGTTTAAATTAATACAAAGACCATGTCTGCACATGAGTTGTCTGTAAATGCTTCCACTGCACATATACACATTTTGTGGTGCCTGCTGAGATGAACTGGAGCTTGGCAACCCTGGAGACAAGGATATGTGGGCTGGCATGTTTGTGGTCTTCTCGGATCTCATCTTCCTGGCTTTTGGGAAGATTAAGGCAGAATGACCTCTTGGGCTGAACAAACACCTGCAGTGGAGGTAGCCAACCCCTCTGTCCCTGTGAGCTACATGTGTAGAAATCAGTCATACACCCATGAGCTGAATAAGCTCTGGGAGCATTTACAGGTTTGAAATAAGTGGTTTCTCTGGGCTGGGAGAAAGAGGAGGTTGCTTCCCTGGCAGCTCCTGAACAGTGTGCTCACTTTTTCCCACAGGTAGAGACCAGTTACTACTTGGCAGCCTGTCAGCGTAGGCTTGTCCCTTGTCTCTTAGTGAGCTCTAGCATGGGGGATTTCATCTGTACTGTTTACACTGAGACTCACTCAGTGGTGTTCTCCCAGGCAACGTGGGCTTTGCAGCACAGTTCAGGAGCAAAGGACCTTGGACTAATGTAACCATTCCCCACCTTTGGTCAAGCCCGCTCCAGTACAGTGGGGGTAAATCCTAAAGTAAATGTGATTTATTTTTGCACTCCTTCCAGAAGGAACTGGAACCATTCAGGACACTAAAAGTGTTGCAAGACTGGATTATTATTTTTGGAGGAGATTGCAGTTCTGATTCCCCATTGAACAGGAAGTTCAGTGGCTGTAATGTGCATAGCAATGGTGATTCTTCTCTTTAAGGATGTGGCTTCTGTTCACAGTTCTGGCTTCTTCCTGAGATGATTTACCTTGTGAATGCCTTGGGATATAGGAAGCATAAAGCAACAGGATATCTAAAAGGCATCTAGAAGGGCGGATGAGCTTCAGATGCCTACTATTGGAGGTCTCCTTTTAACAGCCCTGAGAATTAGCAAGAAGCCTTTGAAGGGTAACACTCCCTTTTGCGCTTACAACAAGGGCAGACTGTTGTGATCTCTTGTGCACCGAAGGACAGTTTATTTTCTGTTATTGAGCTTGTTTTTGGCCACACTGGTAGAAAAACATTAAAACCTTGGCATAAAGAGTCAGTCCTGGGGTTCGCTGTGTTAGCAGCTGCCTGGATCCATGCTGCCTGGATCCATACTGCCTGGTGTTGGAGCAGGCTGCATTTGACAGATGACTTTTGGGTCGTGTGTGGTCTTGAGGCAAGGATCAGCATCTCACCTGTAAAACTATATGCACATAGCTGGCAGTGTAGAAAGTCTTTCCTGCTTCTGACCATCTCTGGGCCCTCTCCTCACAGAGGGAAGGATTTTGGTAATAGTTAACCTTGATGTTTCTCCACCCTGACTTGGAGATTAGTTTATCCTGCTTTAACCATGACCTCTTAAAAGGCATTTGTTGTTTCACAAATAGTGTGGATTTCTGCAGACCAGGGCAACTCTTCAGGGGACAGGCTTCCAATGTTGCCACTGTTGTAGTGTTAAATCCTCTGTGTCCAAATGCCAGCAGCCTACTGTTTGGTGACTAAGAAATGTGTACCATTAGATACACCCTGTAAAATGGTGGCTTGGCACTCTTTAACTGTCTTCTTCCATTGTGCTTTTTTGTAGGCAAGTCACAGGTCCCCACATTGACTGTTTCTCCATTTAACTTGTCCTGGAATGACAAAAGTCACTGGTGAGCCTGAGTTGTGCTGCTTGTGACTCCTAATCACATTCAGCCTTCATGCTATGATGGTGCTTTTTTTTTCCCCTTCAAAGTAGCTTGCTTTTAAGTGTCTTAATGAAACCATTTGCTGTAAAATTTCTTCTGAAGATAAAATGGATACTGCCTCACAGCCTAATGTCTTAATAATGTGCTTGAGTTATTTTTTTTTCTTCTATATGAATGTATATTGCCTCATTAGGGCAGGGAGTGTGCGTGATTATGGATGTGTTTCCCTGTATTGCTTGCAGTGAAGAGCTTTACAGTTTCCCATGATTTTCCTCCACTGCTAGAATGTTTGTACAGCAGAAATCTGTGGATAGGTGAGGTACCTTCTGAAATGTGGGAACTCAGCCTCCCAAGATCTTGTTTTTATGGAGCTCTAACAATAATGTGAAGAATGATGGGCTCTGGAGGAAATGTCTACCTTGGAGAGTGGGGTATTTCATTTTGGTTTGGGTTGGGTTTTTTTCACCCTAAGTTTCAGCAAGAAACTTTATGAAACATTTGTGAGCATTGTTGAAAGGACTGGTGTGCGTATGTTTGTGTCCATTTTGTGTCGTGTTCAGTGTTTCCAAATGCAATTATGAATCAAAATAAATTACTGGAAATGATCTGTGTAGTGGCCTGTTGATTTATGCCAACACGCTCAGCCAGGTCAATGACCAAAAGCTTCCATCATCTCATGGCTATTTAGCTGTGAGCTGGACTTGGGAATAAGAGAGCCACAGGCTAAGGAGAAGCTAGGAAATAAGGTTTATTCCAGTTCTGCAAAAGTTGACCTTTGGGTTTGTTTGTGTTGGGATGAAACAGATGCCTGCAGGCAGTTCTCACCACCCTGGAAACTGTATCTGATCAGGTTCCTAGTCTTAGTCCAGTGTTCTGCTTTCCCTCCTACACCTGCCCACACAATACATCCAGAACCCTAAAAAAAGAAGAATCTCTTACTTTAAACCCTCTTCTAAGCCATGCTTGGAAATGACGTGCATATTGTGTGTGCAGATGGTGGGAAGAGATGTAGCCTTTGATTCCATTTGTATCTTGGGACATCTGCTGAAAGGCAAAATGACTTTTCATGAGTAGAATCACAGGTGCCTTCAATTGTTCCCAGAGCTCTGCTTTGATTTGCCTGGGTGGCACTTCTGTCAGCTGTTCAGCTGTTTCTCTTTGAAGATTACTTTGCACTCGCTGACAACAAGGACCTGCTAGCAGTGAGCCAGGCTTGTAGCTGGGTGAGGGTGGTGTGTACACAAGGGTGTCAGACTTCTGACACCCCAGCAGCCACCGGCTTTGTTAACTCCAGTGCTGATAATAAGAACATATGAGACTACTGTTTCCCTCAGTTTTTATATTTCTTACTCCCCTGTGGCTTGCCATGTTGCCCTGCACAGCAGGAGCATGCCTGGAGTGGTAGTTCAGGTGCTGGGGAAAGCCAAGGTGCACAATATGTGTCTATAATACACAAGAGGTCTGCAAAGATGTGAGCTGTGGATCACTGTAGTGGCTCATGGGCCCTTCCCAAGCTAGCTACTGTTTGCTTGGGGGGAGTAGGCGAAAAGACTGCTGGGAGACCTTTTTGCGGCCTTTCAGTTCTTAAAAGTGGCCTATAAGAAAGATGGGGAGAGACTTTTTAGCAGGTCCTGTGCAATAGGGTGGGGGTTGATGGTTTTAAACTAAAAGGGGAGGTTGAGGTTGGATGTGAGGAAAATATTCTTTACAATGAAGATGGTGAAATACTGGCACAGGTTGTCCAGAGAGGTGGCAGGTGCACCACCCCTGGAGACATTCAAGGCCAGCCTGTATATGGCTCTGGGCAACCTGATCTAGATGGAGATGTCCCTGCTCATTGCATGGGGATTGAACTAGGAGACCTTTGGAGGTCCCTTCCAACCCAAACTATTCAGTGATTCTATGAAATTGTTTAATATTTCAGGCACTGTTTTGACTCCAGTTCAAGCTGGGCCTGGGAGACTTTGAAGAGACTGCTGTACAGATGATACCTGTGTGGTCGAGGTTTGGGGGAAAGCAGGTAAGAACTCTTAAGGGCAGCTGTCAGCAGGGAATGGGGTTGGGATAGGGGAGTGTGCAATCACTTCAGGGTTCTGCATTTGCTGTTGTACCAAAGTGAAAATCCTCCCCGCTTCCCTGCACAGAAGGCAAGTCTGGCTGTGCAGCCACCTCCCTCTCTTGCCAAGAAAAGCAAGGAGCTGACAGGCAGGAGTGTGCCTGAGCTGTGAGTGTGGGCTGATGACCAGCATTAAGGCATTGACATCTGCATCTTAACCAAGCACTGGAGCAGGAGGCTGTGCTCTGGCACAGCTGCAGGCTGAAGCTGTTTCCTTAATCTTGAAAAGCTCTCTTACACGTCACCCTCCTGCTGGGAAATGCTTGCAAGAGCTTTAATCTTCAAAACACTAACATCATGCCATCATGCCTGGGATTTTAGGGGTGTCTCATGCAGTCAACGGGCACAGCCTTATTGCTCTCAAGGAGGTATGAGTTTTTTCAACCAGGTGTGGGTTGAATGGGGAAATTGAGGGGCTTCCCATCCCTGCTTTGATTCCCATTGATTCAGACCACATTGAGTATGAATGTGCCTGATCTTTGAACATCATCCCTATCCTAACTGAGGCTTCAGCTCCACACTAGTGTTGAATTAGCAGTAGGCAAGGGCAAAGGGGTCTCAAACACAGCTCCTCAGGGATCTTCTTTTGGTTTCTTGCTGCTGGAACTGCCCATCCCAACAGCATCTTGCTAGGAGGATCTTGCTCAAAGCTACTAAGAGTAGAGGAAACCCCTAGAAGATGAGAAAAAGGTCAGTTTCAACAGTAGGTGTTGACTGCACTTCAAGTTCTTTGGAGTATTATTTTAATGGAAGGTGAGTGGGTGCTGAGATGAGTGGGAGCTCTGAGCCTCGAGGATAAAATGTGCAAGTGTGGCATTGCTGGGGAAAGAATCTGCAGTTCAGTAAACTGGAAGCACCCCTGCATAGCCAGTTGTTTGGGGCACCCTTTTAGCTGTGAAAGATGTTGATTCAATGCCTGCTTAGCCTCTTGCTAGGGTCAAATCAGGCTGTGCTTGTCTGCTCTACTGCTCCATCCTGCTGCTACTCCCCATACAGCTTCTATGTGTCCTGTCTCCAGCTGGCCGTAATGCTGCCTTCTCTCTAGCTGAACAAGGATGTGTTCTCCCCTTTCATCCTCTAGCTCGCTATCCTCCTTATGCCATGAGTCCAGGTAAAGGGTGGACTGGAAACATTGCCTGCTCTCTTCATTGCCCTGGTGAGGAGGAAGTCAGCTTAGGAAAAGGCCACCAGTAACATGAAAGCTGTTCTGGAGGTGTTCCAGGAGCTCATTAGGAACTACATGGAGAGGCTTCCAAGGGGAGAGTGTGTACAGAGAGGAAGAGGATTGCTGCTGCTGTGCTGCCACGGCTTGCCGTGATTATCACCGAGTGGCTGCTGACTGCACTGGGGCATTAGTTCGGTAGCTCAGTCCCCAGCCCCGCTTCTCCCTGCCTTTTTGGCTCAGTGAAAGACACTACCCTTCTCCAGTCGCTGTTCTTCCCTACAAGACAACTTATTCAGCCCTCTCTCAGCTTGCTGCTTCCTCTCACAATCTGCCTTTTAATGCAGCCAGATGGTCTGTACTCGCCCACACTTCACGCAGGCACCTTCAGCTCCCTGTGTTTGGATAGTGTGCTCATCTGACCTTCTGGTGGTCTGGTCTGCGTCTGCCTTTGGGAGATGGTGAGTGCTCATGTGTTGTAGAGAATGGCTGTGGGAGTGACAGTTGTCTTCATACAACTTCAGATGGAGAATCTGCTTGACAGACTGGGTTGTGTGTGCAGGAGGCTCTCTGACCACATTCCTATGAGCTATGTGCATGGATGCTAATGCTCTGAAGCCTGCTGCTGGGCACCTGTCCTGTACTGCTTCATCTGTGTGCTGGCCCAGGTCCGTGACCATGGGCTGACGTCCAGTGCTGTGTAGTTGGCTTCTGACACAGTTTGCACTGGCAACTCACTTGTGCTCGTTTCACGTTTGGGTTTATTGGAAGCTTTCAGTGCATGTACAGGTTTTAAAAGCCACTGACACAATGGGTAACAGTAAACTGTCTTCTTCCTGGCATCATGTGAGTGCTCCCTGTACTGCCATATGCTTTTGGAGGGAACTTTGTGTGAGGGGGAAATGATTCCAGACTCCTGCCTTATGCTGTTGCCAAGACAGGACATATTGCACCTTCACAGCATTACCCTCTGTGCACTATGCTGCAGGTTAACCTTAAACACTGGTAAGAAACTTTTGTTTTAATCACGTCAGCGTTATGTAAAAACAGTCTGCCTTTTTCTTGGATCTTTAATGGCTGGATCAAGTGAAAAGCCCCTGACAGACTTGCACAATATCTCCTTAAACACTGCAGTTAAACAGCCTGGAAACTGCAAATGCAAGACCGAGGCGCACGCCACCATCACCACCGCCGCGCTGTGCGGTGCGGTGCGGTGCCGTGCTGCGCTGCGGTGTGCCGTGCCTCCCCTCGCTCGAACCGCGCCGCCGCCAGCGCGATGGCCCTGTCGTGTTGCTAGGACACCGAGGCCGCTCCCTAGCAACGCGCCCCATCGCGGAGCGCTTTACGGCAGCTGCGGACGCTTCCACCGGGCTCTTCCCCCGTCCCCTCCCGCGGCGGGGAGGGCGGCGCCGCCATGTCGTCCCCGGGGCGGTGCGAGGAGGTGGACCAGACGCTGTTCGTGGGGAACCTGGAGAGCCGCGTGCGGGAGGAGATCCTCTACGAGCTCTTCCTGCAGGTGGAGGGCGGGCCCCCGGGGCGGGGCGGGGCCGGGCAGCGCCGCAGCCGGGCGCGGCGGACGGGGTGTCGCCGGGGCCGTGCGCGGGTGAGATCGGTCCGCGGGCCCTGCAGCTCCGCGGTGGGGAGTGGCATCGTTCGCCGTTGGAACGCAGCGTGGAGTTCGGCTGGTAAAGAGCGAAACCGCCGGCCGGGGCTCTAGGCCGGTCCTGCCGTGCCCAGGCCACCGCGCACGTCTGGTTTTAGCCTGCTCGCGAAGTGCAAGGTTTGGTGCCGCAGTTGGTGAGGAAGTTAAATAACGTAAAGATGTTCTTAAAATCCCCAGGAAAAAAAAACAACAAAACAAACCAAGTGGTTTTTACACTTTCTTTAAAATATTCTGAGCAAGAAGGTTTTGGTCAGGAATTTAATTAGGAAAAAGTAGTGTAAAACCTGAAAATGTGCTGAGCAAGGCTAATAGAATTAACACGGCACTGTTAGGAATGATGTGCAGGTGAGGCTCTGGACTTCCACCCACAAATGACCTTTATATCAGAATGGTTTATGTTTTGATGCATGAGAAGATAATAAAAAATCCATTGGTGGTTTTTTCATGGAGCTGGGGAGAAATACTATGTAGCTGGCCCTGTTTCAAACCTGAGCTTAATTCTCTGTGGAAATAAAGTACGCCAAGGAAGACAGAAAATGTTAAGACACTGAGTTGGCCTCAGTTTTGATCTCACATTGACAGCATCTCTGGCTAAACCAGGTTTATTAACCTGATAGTAGTAAGGAAAATGGGGAGGATATTCAGAGAAGAGAACATTACATCGCTAGTGCAAGCATCAAATGACAAGACGTATGATGACAGTAGTTGCTGATCATGGGTTTTTCCTGAAGTTGTTTATGATGTGTTTGGTTTATTTATTTTTTTTTTTTTTTTTTTCTCCTGGCATGATCTAGCAATCCTCTGTCAAGTTAAAAGGTCCCAGACTGACTGGGCATTTTATCTGACAGCACAGTGATAAACTTGCTTCTACCAATGCACTGATTGCCTCTGTCTCAGAATGAATCTTGCTTCCTTCTGGTGAGTTCAGAAAATAAAGAGTGCAAAAACAAGAGGTGGGCAGAATCATCTGTTCTCTTGCTATTTCATTTGCTAATCAGGACTAGTTCTACTCACCAGTTTTATTCCACTGATTAATCTGCTATTTGTCTCGTTAACCAGTATTTTCATTGAAAGGCCTTTTTGTTTGGTATGTTCCAGCCCTTTGGGTTGCTACCTGTGTTCCCTTATATTCCTAGCTTTCAGTTTTTGACTTTTCCCTGAAATTAGCAAAGAAATATTTGTTTCTTCTCTTCCTGCCCCCCTTATTTTCTCTGCAGTATTCCTACCTGTTTCCAACACTAAACAGCAGTCTGCTGTTTAACTGCAAATCTTGGGTAAAGAAAGCTTATCTTAGCAGAGGACATGACTAATTCCATACAATTTCTGGTACAAAAGTGGTAAAAACAAGTGGATGCTCCCAGATGCGGTTTTTCATGACTTTTCTGCATAATCTGCAGCACTCACCCAACTGCTGACTTTTATCTGAGTCTTTAGGTCATCCTGATAACACCTATTTTGATTTTTTTGTTCTGTTCACCTTATTCTCCATCGGGTTTCTCTGTCTTTTGCTGCAACAGCATGTGCTGCTCACTGCAGTACTGCCCTTTCTTGGGAAGTACGGAGTTCAATATTCCTCCTATGCCATGGTCCTAAAGATGCACTCCAGACCTGTAGCTTTTCCCCTCATCAAATTATGAGCAACTATCTAGTGCTTCTAAACTATTAATATTTTTCTTTATGAACAGGAAGACTACCTATTTAAAAGAACAATCAGCAAAGGATTCGAGTTTGTCATTTCTAGTTCTTGAAGAACCAGATCATCCTCATTAGGCAAATATTAACCAGAAGACTGGATATATGTAATTTAAAAAAATGCAGTGTAGTGCAAAACAGCAACAAAAACACCTGAAGGAGCCAATTCAAGCAAAAATAAATGTTCAGAATCTTACTGAAATCCCTTCTTTAAAATAAACAAGCCCCCAACCCAACCAACCAAAATAATAAACCAGAAACAAACACCCAAACAAAGAAAAAAAAAACAAACAACCAAAAGACCCCAGCAAACTTCCAGATATTTGGAAAGATGAGATCAACATTTTAAAGATTCCCTGCACAGGACAGCCTATGTAGTATCCATTGCTGTATACCTGATCGCCCTCTGCACCACTAATAAAAACAGTGTGTTATCTTTGATCCTTTGTGTTTGTCTACATGAATTCCCTATTTTCACCAGCGTTGGCGGGGTGGGGGTGTTTCATTTTTTAGTAAAAGCATCTTATTTAATTGAGGGTTTAGTTCATGCACAGCTGGCAAAAGCATGAAGCAATCAAACATTATTATCACAGACAACAATCCTGAGTATCTTCAGTCTGACAACATGGAGGCTATAATAAGGGAGATGGCTGCACATCATCACTTTGAATGCTCAAAGCAAACTGCAGATTTGTTGTTTGAGAGGAATCCTAGGAGATGCAGAACAATAAAGTACACAGCTTTCTGTGGCTTATTTTCTTTATCTGAGCATATGCCCTATATTTATTTTGAATGTTTAACTGTTTATGCAGTTTAATTGCTGTAAAGCTGTTAGGAGTTAACTTGTGTTTGCCTGAAGCTACAGATGACTTCTGAGTAACTTTTACTGCAAAGCACCTATTGTATCAGTAGCAGTAGTGGAAGGCAGTTCTCCTGATAACTGCTGGGTTTTGATTCAGAACAATGAATTCTCCATCTACTACAGTAATTTAGACATTCAGTGTTTTTTTTGCTGCTGGATTTTTTTGTAACTTACGTGGCCTTCATTTCTCATACTGTATCCTCCTAAAGTTAATCTGTGACATTCTTAACACTCCAGAGCTGTGGCAGGAGACTGCTGTTGGCTGCTTCTTTTTTCTCTTTTTGCTCTGCTAAATCAGCCATACAGACACGTAGTTTGTTTTGATGAGAAGCTGTTCATTCCATGACTAACGCACTGACTCCATCTCGTGGAGGGAAAATTCATCTTTGATATCCATTAAGAAAATGAGTTTCTTCGAAATGGAGACAGTATTCAGGGTATCACTGCTTTAATTTTGTCCTAGAAGTACTATGCAAGGATTAAAATGTTACGTGTAGGCATAGTCGGGACTTTTCACTGAAGGTACTTCAGCCAAAGAGTGTGGTTTGGGGATTTTGTTTTGTGGATGGGATTTTGCAGGCACAAACCCAGTATGTCAGCTGTAGTGAGATGAATCAGGGGGTCTCCTGATTCCTTGCTATGTAGTTGTAAGGAGGGTTAGGCAGTACAGAAAACTTTTTTGTGGTGGTTCCAGAAGCTCTACTCTCTATTCAGCTTTGTATTCCCACAGTGCTGATGCTGACCATTTTAGGAATTTAAGCACGAGTAAAGCATATTTATGGATCACGTCACTTTTACATAGCTGATATTATCAGTTTGCTTAGTTACGTTAGCGGTGCAAAGCAGCCCTCTGTAATAATTGTACTAGCAGCTGCACATGCATTAAGATGATTTCTGCTATGGAATAAGTAAATTAGTCTTCCCTATTGCAGCAGCTGTCAGTGTATTTTAAAAATAAGCAAAAAAATCTGATTATTAAAGACTCAGCATCATCCATGGGCTGATGCTTCGTTCCCTTTTAACATTTGCGGAGCTGATTTTTGTTTGTAGAAGGCTCAGAATTTGAGTTTGGGGAATGTGGAGAGACATCTTTTAAAAATGAAGATTCTTCTATGGAGAAATTTACACTCTGACTATGGCAAAATACACATCATTATGAAACCATCAGAACAGAATGAAGTGTCAATCTCTGTTAATTTCTATGAGAAAATAATACAGATTTCTTTCAGGCTGGACCACTAATCAAAGTGACGATTTGTAAGGATAAAGAAGGAAAACCTAAGTCTTTCGGATTTGTCTGTTTTAAGCACAAAGAATCAGTGCCTTATGCAGTAGCTTTGCTGAATGGAATCCGTTTGTATGGAAGACCAATTAGAGTGCAGTTTCGGTTTGGTACGTTTAGTAATCTCAATGATTAAGTCTTTGTGAATGTTTTAGTTTTAATGACTATTTTTGAATCCTAGAGGCTTTTACAAAGATGTTGATTTATAGCTGGAACAAATTACAGTCCATTTTTTCAAGAAACAAAAACTTTTTGTGGCTTTTGTATAGGGGAGGATTCAGTGTTTGTATTTTTTGTTTATTAAGAGAATACAGTTGTTGGGCTCAGAACAGCCTTAACTTGCAAGCCAGCTCAGACCACACTGTATGAAAAACATAGCAAGACAGGTTTTCACACCAGATTACATTTAGGAATCAGGGTGTGTCTTTAATTTTCAGTCTGGCACAAAGCGTTGATTCAGTGGGTGCAGCAACTATCAAGCTGTTTGACAGCTTTTATACTAAAGCCACAGGCTTATCAGAGCTGTTGTTTTAAATTGAAGGGATTATAGTTCAAAGCATGTAGTCGAATCAGAGTCACATCCTTCATTTTATGTTTATGAAAATAAACTTTCTAGAAAGCTAATGATCAGGCACTGTTTGCAAACTAAACACTAAGGACTCATGTTCCCACTGGGCACTGTGCCACTCCTTGCTTTTCAGGCTGTAGAGAGCAATTGCTGGCTTTAAATACAATTGCTGAAGTTCCTAAAGTCAGAAGCATGTCCTGTGTCTGTAACTGAATGGGAATTACTCTGATCTTGGTTACTTCAACACCCTGATTTATGCTTCTGTTATTGAGTAAATGCTAAATGAATGTTTTCAAGCACTAAAATGATGCTATAAAGCATTCACCAAAAAATGGCAAATACTTTATATACTACATTACATATACTTATATATAAAAGGCAAACCTTTATATACTACCTTATATATACTAGCACAGTACAGATGCCACAGAACACTTCCTGTGGTTTTAGCTTGTTAACTGAATAGTTGTAACTGAATAGTCATTATGCTCTTGTCTTATCTACAGGGAGTTCTCACTCAGCAGAACAGAACAACCCTAAACGTGGTTTTGAGAACTATACTGACTTACATTCACCTTCATATAGGTAACAAAGATCACCTGTGAATAAACTCAATGATTTTAAAGAAGTTTCCTAAAGAAAATCAGTTATGTGGTAGAGCAATCTTCAAGCTCTTCATTAAAACAGCTGTTGATGCTTTAATTGCATCCTTGCTGACTTGCAGAATGGGCTGTAGTTAACATTAGGTTGTTCAGCTTGCCAGAGGTTCAGTTAGCTTGAACTTTCTACTCTGTTTCTGCTAGATACAGGGCCATAAGAAAATACTGAAATATGCTGTTTGTACTTACAATATTTGCAGTTGGTGGGGGAAAAAAATCTGACAATTGACAGTATTTTCAAACCCCACTGAGTTTATATCTGTATTTTTTGTGTGTATACCTATAAGCAGCTGTCATGCACATATAAATGCACAGGTATACACCTGTTACAATGGAAGTCTGAACACCCTAGATTCAGTATTTTTCAATGTCTCAACATTTTCAAGTGTGACAGAACTCTCTGTGGAAGTTAAACTTCCATGATGAAATCTAGAACCCTTCTATATCTGCACTAAAGTACATGTGAGGATTACTCATTACTTGAGCTTTTGAGTATATTTTCTTTGTTTTATCATGTTTTTTTCATGCAAGTCCAGTTGCTAATATCTCAGTTCTCCTCTTGGATATTCTCATTAGGGCCCAAGAGTTAAGTCTCAGCACTGTGGTAAGCAGTATGTGGTGGACATCTAGTCTTTGTACATTTGATTGTTTTTCCTAGATATCAAGAGCTGTATGGAAGCCCTCCAATTACTCCTTTTCCAGTGAACAATAGTCCACCTTGTGAATACTCGGGCTTTCCAAAGATGGTGAGTTTGTGTTAAAAGTTAAAAATTTGGGAGATTTTTTTATTATATTGACTGTATTCTGCATTTCTGCAAACAATGGTACTTATTTAATGGCTCAAAATGGGATCTAGGCTGCTAACGTTGACTGTATTAGGTCTATTTATTTTAGCACTTAAGCGTACTATCATAATAGGGGATCTACCAAAGCATTTTCTTACAGCAGGAATGTTTTAAAAGTTAAGGAGGCTAAAAATATCCAAGTCTACAGAGAGAGCTCTCTCCTGTACTGTGGTCTAAATCAAATCCCCTTGCTGAGTCAAGCTAATCCAGTAAAATTACAACCGTGCGAGCAATAGCTTCTTCATATACAGCTATTTCAGTCATGGAACCTCTTAGCTCTTCTACTCAATTCAGAAATACCCAGCAGAAGTTTGAAATGTCCTAAAACCAAACCTAAACCTCATCCAGAAAATCACCACTGCTCAAGTTAGGGCAGCAACAGTTTTAGAGTTTCTGGCCTGAACCTTTACATGCCCATGCAGTTCTCACATTCATGATTTACTTTCACAGCAGTAGACAGTGAAAACCTGTATTCGTTTCCACTCCAACAGACTCTGGTCCTGTCCTAATCTCTTGTGGCTGAGATACTCCACAAGGCAAGGGAACAGGTCTCTTCAGATGGCAACCTGTGGGCCAAACCCTACTCGCTTCCATCATGGAGCTTCTGAATCTGATGAGTATGGATCAGTAGGACTGAAGAAACCCATCATTTAATGTGAGGTACCAACTGTGGACAGCAGTGCTGCTGCTCAGTCTGACTGGGGAATGGCCAGCTCTCTTTAACTGAGGAAAGGGTGAAGTCTGGATAGATGACACTTGCTAGCTGCAATCTGAGCAGGAAAATGGAGAGGGCTTGTTCCCTGTTGCACAGATGTGGTAGTGGCCTGCCTCCCTTCTTCCCAGGCTGTGGCCTCAGAAGGGCTGGTGCATGCACAGACTTGTCACATCCCCTCCACTGTGGTTGGAAGGCTTGGGAGTCTTCAATCTCCCGCACTGCTCACCAATGAGCTCGCTCCTCATTAACAATGCAGTATGTATACCCAGAGACCAGGCTCAGCAGACCAGCACACACAACCCACTTCATCCCATTTTCTGCTTCCTAAAAGGGACGGAATTGCAGTATGTCTCCAATAATAGTCATGTGCAGCTTCAGCAGTTAAGTGGTCTTGTCACATGTACACCTACACAAATCTACCTCACCTTTCTTTGGGTGAGCCAGGCAAGTTACTTGGAGTCTGCCTGCACATATAACACATGCTCCCCATCATTTTTCTGGTTACTGCCA